CCCCCCCCCCCCCCCCCCCCCCCCCCCCCCCCCCCCCCCCCCCCCCCCCCCCCCCCCCCCCCCCCCCCCCCCCCCCCCCCCCCCCCCCCCCCGAAAAAAGAACTTTTCTTGCTCTTCTTGCTGACCGCTGACCTATTCATTTTTATTGTAGCATCATCTTTACCATGATACGGTCAAGCTTTTCGCTATTGTTACTTGTCCTTGTCGCAGCTGTCTACTCGACAGATCATTTTGTTGAAAAATTCGAAGGTAAAATTTTTGTTATCTAATCTTTGAATGATTCTTATCAATATTAATTTTTTGTTTAAGACGAGAGCTATAAAAGTCGATGGGTTCAATCAACAGCTAAATCAGATTATGGTGATTTTAAATTATCACATGGTAAATTTTATGGTGATGCAAAAAAAGATCTTGGTATGTCATTTGAATAAAATTGAAAACGAAAAACACGTAACTATTTTAAATTTCCTTTTTTTTTATAGGTCTTCAAACATCCCAAGACGCTCGTTTTTATGCTGTTTCAGCTAAATTCGATAAATTTTCAAATGAAGGCAAAACACTTGTTATTCAATTTAGTGTTAAACATGAACAAAAGATTGATTGCGGTGGTGGCTATGTTAAAGTCTATCCATCGGATACCGATCAAAAAGGTCTTACCGGCGATTCACCATACCACATTATGTTTGGTAATTGAATAGAAAAGAAAATTTTGTCTCATTTATTCTCATGTTTATTTTGGTTTCTTCGTTTAGGACCTGATATTTGTGGTTATAGTACTAAAAAAGTTCATGTTATTTTCACATACAAAGGAAAAAATCTTTTAATTAAAAAAGAAATTAAATGCAAAGATGATGAATTTACACATCTCTATACATTGATTCTTAACTCGGATAATACCTATGAAGTTCGTATTGATACTGAAAAAGTCGAAAGTGGTAAACTTGAAGAAGATTGGGACTTTAGTGTACCAAAACGAATCCCAGATCCTAATGCTAAAAAACCATCTGATTGGGTCGATGAAGAAAAAATCGATGATCCAACTGATACCAAACCAGCCGATTGGGATAGACCAGAACATATTCCTGATCCAGAAGCTAAGAAACCAGAAGATTGGGATGATGAAATCGATGGAACATGGGAACCACCAATGATTGATAATCCTGAATACAAAGGTGTTTGGAAAGCTAGTCAAATTGACAATCCAGCATATAAAGGACCATGGGTTCACCCTGAAATCGATAATCCAGAATATGTTGAAGATCCAAACCTTTATTTATACAAAGATTTGGGCGCCATTGGTTTCGATTTATGGCAAGTCAAATCCGGTACTATCTTTGATAATGTAATTATCACTGACAGTGTTGAACGTGCTGAAGAATTCGCCAAGGAAACATGGGTTAAAACAAAAGAACCAGAAAAGAAGATGAAAGATGAACAAGATGAAGTTGACCGAAAGAAAGAAGAAGAAGATCGTAAGAAACGAGAAGCTGGTTAGTATTTTGTTGTGTTTCATTTTTTATCATTAAATATAAATTTATTTATTATCTTACAGAAGAAAAATCGAAGAAAACTGATGAAGATGAAGACGCAGATGATGACAAGAAATCACCACACGCTGACGATGAATTATAAATAAATAAAAACATTTACATCGCACATTCCCACTGTCTTATTAATTGGACAATAACAACCCTATACATAAATGAAACATCTTGCGAGGTAGTTCCCCTATATCCTCTTTATTTAAACTTTAGTTACGTTGGTTAATCTTTCTTGCTTTGCTATTATTGTGTTTGTTTTTTTTCCATCGTTTGTTTTTCAAATGAAGAAAAGCTAATGGTGCAAGACTAGGAAAAAGAAATGCAAAAAAAGACACATAGAGTTACTTCACAATAAAACCTAAAAGAAGAGAGTTCTAATCGAATCAGCTTCGTTTGTTTTTATTATTGTTGTTCTTTGTTGCGCGGAAATATACACAGCTGTTTTTTTTTCTTATTCATCTCTCTTTTGCGTACTTGTGCTTGTTCATGTGTGTTAGTTCGAGTTGACTATATCTTGCATGTATCTTTCTGCTCTCTGCGTTTTTTTATAAGTCGCTGTGTACGGATTAAAACAAAAGAATTATTAGAAGATATATTGTGATGATTAAATTAAATGAAAATTTAGTATCCACGCTTGCATAAATGTTATTTGGATAGTTTCTGTGGCAATGAAGATTTTGCATACATTTGACAATGATTTTTATTTCAAAGATAATATTTAATTGCCTAACTGAAAATAATAAGTCGCCATGTTTCTGAATCAAAATTATTTACGATAGAAATGTTGACAATTGATTCTAGTGTCAATTAATGATTATTAGTGATTAAAGTTTGACTTGACTAGCTTGACATAAGTCAATGACAATTCTTACTCAATATTCAGGACGATAATAGAAATTACATGTTCTTGATATTTTTATTGCTATCAACAACAAGTATTACATACGCCAATCACTAATCTAGACCAACCTTTGGAAAAGATTGTCTTTCGAAATATAATCGTCTCAATCTTTTGTTATTAAGGTCTTATTTCATTTGTCAATGTCTCAGGGTTTTACCGCATTGTAGGCATAAACAACAACGAAAATCTCTCTATTTTGTTGAGTTAAATTACATATCTTCTTGTTTAAGTCCGTTTGATGAGCTGAATAAAGAAATTACTCAGCTAATTAATCATTTTCAAATAAAAGACAAACAACGTATGCCTCATATAGATCCAAATAAATTATTATAAATTGACATTTAGATTCGTTATGTCTTACTTTGGAGCTACTCTATTTTGATCAGAATTTTCAATCAATATCCGTGTATCCTTGAGGAAAACTACGGTACCAACTTTCGAATGAAAGCTTGATGTTACACCAAGCATTGAAAAACATAGTTTGTTTTTCAAAAATTGACACCTCTCTTCGGGTACAATGATAATAAGAGATGTACGTATGTTACCTGCAATATTATTATTTCGGGATAGAAGCAAATCATAAGAACTAAAGACTTTTTTAAATAGAATACTGTTGTTCATTTCTGTTTACATCAAACGCTTTCATTCGAAAATCAGTTTTGCGAAGAAAACCTGAATTATTGATATAAACAACATAACGAAAATGAAATATATCCGCATCAATAAAAGATGACCTTGCATTTCTCTCTCAACATTTGTAATTCAATAGAACGCAGTTGATGTGCACAACTGTAAATTGAAAACGATTTATTTTTCGACGAACACCCTTCACAAACTGACATATCCTTTCAGCGTTGCATTTGCTGTAGTGCAACTTATTATTAGTTACGCAATGATCGTGTCTTTCACTTGTCGCTTCTTAATTTGCTTTTACAAGACTCAAAAATACTAGACGAACACGGATCTATTAGGCTACTATAGCTAAGTATTTGGAATTGGCAAATTAAAGTTTCGTCTAGAATACAAAATACACCTAAAGTTTGTCATCAATGTATCAAATTATCGTAAATTTTGTGTCAAATATCATTGGTTGTGTAAAAACTCTCCCAGGGACACAGAATTCGTTCTTTTTTTTTTTATTCGGTAAAGTTCTTTAAGCCTACGAATATTACTCTGCATAAGATCATAATTTTTGTCATTGTGAAAATAATTTTGTTGAATAATCAAAAAATTGATTTAAACTTTTTATTTCGATATATAAAAAAAAGCCAGCACAATCATATCAGCGTGATCGAAAGTGAAAATAAACAAAATTGAAAATAACTAGAATGAAAAATGACGATTAATTATGTTTTCCGTGGAGGAAGACGTTGCAGTGTTGGTAATGGATCATTACGCAATCCTTTCAATGATTTTTTCGCAGATGAAATAGAACTTTTATAAGATGGTGATAATGGTTCAGTGGAAGATGATAGTGGGGATCGATTTACATTAGTTGTTGCAAGAACTGGTTGATGACTAACACGCATTGGTGAACGAAAACGATCGGCTGTTGAATTCCTATTTATAAGACAACAAAAGAAATTATTTAAAGTTTTCATGAGAATCATATTCTCGTATTCATAGCTATCACAATTTTATATTAAAAAAAGGAAAAGTTTTTAACGAGTTTTCGTAAATTCTATGATAGATTCTATTATGATTACTTACGAATTATCAGCTGTTGATGATCGTGAATTTGCACGGGATCGTGTGCGATGTGAACTAGCAGCTGAGTTTGATCGATAACCTAATTTTAAAAAAATATATAGAGACGAATTATTTTTATGTACTGTTATATAAATTGTATTTTAATATTCTTGCTCGAGAACTTTCAAATACAATAGATAGAATTATTTAATTACAAATGAAATTAGTTTTGAGAATAGAGTTGTTTCATCTATTTAGCAAAGTTGAATTTCTTAAAAACCAACAATGAGTATATATTTTGACAATGGTGTTATTCGTATTGGATCCCTTTCCTTATTAGATAGACGTAATCAAATTTTTTCTCATAGAAATTGAAGATAATCGAATGATATTTCAAAAGACAAATTAATTCATGAAGAATTCTACTAATATGAATGATATTCTAATCATAGAATCGAACTAGATGTTTGCATTAGATTCGTGATTTCCATGATCTGCTTACCTGAAATTCGTGTCAGTTCGTCTTTCAACTTTTGTTTTCGATTAACCTGGATAGAGACATAGATCTGCTAGGAATTTTTAAAAATTCTTTATAGTGAAAACAAAACAACACGAATTACTCAAATAAGATAGATTCGAAATAATCTCACTATTAATCACATATAAGATCGATTCATGGTATTTGACATCGAACTTTCCGACCCTAGTTACTTGCTATGAGAGTTCAAGTCGCAGAGAATTCAACGATTTCAAGTTGAATTTTTTTCGAAACCACTGAACTCAACAAATCAACCGTTCTCTGTGATGATTTAGTATGGGAATTGTAGATCGTACCCGTATCACCGGTAGCAACGCGACTTTCTGATTTTTCAGGACTATCAGCTGATGCCGTTGTTAATTGCCATTTTTGATGGTCCGATCGAATTTCTTCATCCAAGCCTAAATTACGTCGATTCGAAGATGCAATCAACGTTTCTTCTATTGGTTAGATAAGATAAAATGAAATAAAATAAATCTCGGTATAGAAGATGCGAATGAATAACAAAGCTAACCGTCAGGAAAGTAAGTTGACTGTTTATCATAACTATTCTCTTCGTCAGATTCGTCAACTTCCAGATCGTTTTCAAGTAAATCTTCATCATCAGCAATGCGTAAAACTTGTGGTTCAAGAAGCTTTTTACGTTCTTCAATTTTTCTAATTATTATATGAAACGAAAATATTCGTAGCGAAGTTGAAAGCGAGAAAAAATATGCTCACCGATTATGTTCAAGTTTCCAATCATTGATTTCTTTCATTAATGGATTGTTAGAAGTTAGTGATGGTGAATAATTTGATGATGACGGTGGCGGGGATGGTACTTTGGGTTTTTCCGATGTTTTATTTGGAGACATATCAGATGTTTGAGAGTGATGACATTTTTTTCTTGCTCGTAATATTTTTGTTAAATTTCCTTGAAATGCTGGACCAATAGTTAATTCACTTACAACATCTTCATTAGTATCTGCAATCAAATATAGAAGAAATCATGTTCATCTTGTTTATACCTTGAGCAGGAGAAAAAAGAATGAAAATTCACCTAATAATTCTGATTTGGATGGATCAGTATTTGGTCGCATGGATCCGGACGATGGTCGATTATTACCTACTGAACCAGAACGTGCAGCTGATCGAGGACGATAATATGCCGCTGAAGTCGGTCGATTCAATGGACTTTTATTGGCTGAATGTGGTCGAGAATCAGCTAAAAAGATCGCAAAATCTTAAGCAAAATGTTTCTTTTTAAATAATAAATACCTTGATTGCATGCTAATTTATCGTCAGGAGGTGCCATACCTGCGGCGATGCATTCTTCAATAAGCGACCAATCTTGTTGAAACAACATGATGCTTTCTCCAGGCATTGATGATGAAATTTTATTGGTTCGATTCGTTGGTACATCATCAAGTGTTTGAAGTCGAGGTAAACGTTGAATAATTTCAACTCGATAATCTGATTGATTATTTATCTAATATAGACAATAAAAGAGACCAAGATTTTTAAAACATTTCTTAGAGATATTTCTCTATACCGGATTGCCTTCGAGAGTCAGCGAGTCTAGACTGGGACATAAGGCAAGAAATTCAACTTGACGTAAATCATCCACAAGATTACTAGATAAAAAAATAATGGTAATAATAATAAAAAAAATACTACGATGAATTTATATATATATATACCTTTCAAGATCAAGTAGTCGTAAGTGTTCAAGCATACTTAATGCACTTAAATCAGATATTTCATTATAGGCAACATAAAGTTCTTCAAGTGATTGGAGACTCGTTATACCATCTAGATCATTTAGACAGCAACGAGCCATCCATAGAATACGTACATGTGAAAGTGATGTACCAAGATCTCTTCAAATAATCAAACAAAAATAAATGAATTTTTCTAGTTTTTTAATGATCAAATTTCAATTTGCACTTAAATTAGGAAAGGCTTTAGAATATATAATAAGTAGAATTGAGAATTTAAAAAACTTGCAAGAATTCTATTCTATAAATATTGACTTATTCAAAAAGTTACAGAATTCTGAATCCTACCGGGTAGACATTCTGCAACTGTTCGAAAAGTGTAGTTTTGTATGTTGATCAATACAGTAACGATATTTCGAAAAATTTTAACTGATTTTTGAGAAATGTGACAGCTTGATTTCAATAGAAACGACTTGAATAAAGAAAGCTTTGCAATATAGTTGGAGTCTTGCCTTTAGTAAATAAATAAACTGTTGTTGCGAATCAATCTGAAATGCTAGTGTTACTAATACGAACTAATTTTAATTCCACAGTTAAGACTTCTGAGATTGGAAAATCAATAATAGGTAATTATTCAAGTTTTAAATTGAGAACAGCTTTAGAACAATTCAATCTTTTGGAAAATACGAGTATTTATAATGAGCCGATAAATTTACACCGGTATATTTATTTCTAAAGATAAGAATTCGAATATTCCTACTACAATTAAATTAAGTGACACTGTTCTTTTTCCAATTAGTCAATATTAAGAAATTATAAAATATTTGAAAAGTTAAAAAAGAAAACATTCACTTTTTCGTTAAATCGAAAACAAAAGACATCTTCAATTTATTTCAATGACTTTGTCATACATCTAACAATTGATATCATATCTATATGGTAAAATCATATCCTATTATTCTAGTTAATACTAAAGTCAATTATAATTCTTCACAACACTCTTTACTTTTATTCTCACGAATATTGATTTATGTGCGACTAGAAATAAGCAAACTTCATTGTCGAGCATGGTATTTGCCCTTGGACATAGACATATTAATACGTGTGCATATAGTTGTTCGATATAAAACAATTTACTGAATATTATCATCATCAAACAAATAAAGCTCTAAATGATTACCTAACTCTTGGTATAACACTATTACTTAATTTCAGTTCAACTAATTTTTGTAAATAAATTCCAAAGTTTCCCAAGCTCGTATCCGATGTATCAACGATCATTTCCAATTCGCGAATATTTGCTAAATCATCTGTACCTGTTAATGCTCTCTATAAAAGAAGAAAAACAACTCTTCAAAAACACAACCTTTTTACTTAGACAAACAGATACCAATTTCGTTGGTGACAAAAACTCTTCCAGTAAAAAATCAGCTTCTTGTAAAACCAACGGTTCGGGATTGACCCGAAAGTCTTTATGCTCAGTTATATGAATACCACGACGTAACGGTTGCTTCCGTGAAGGAGGAGGTCTTTCAATATCGATCGGCATACTTGAAGTTCTTAATTATTATACAAAAGAAAAAGTAGCAAAAACAAATGAATGAATAAAAGCAAGTAAATATTGTCATACCTAAGCATAACCTAAAAGAATAAAATTATTTCTATTTTTCTACATAATACAATGTAAAAATAAATCACTTCATTTAAAAACAGCCATTTAAAACTTCCACTAATTTTCTTTTCTAAGCAACCTGTCAATATATTTCGATCAAAAGTGCATAGATGCGTTGCTTGTAGACGATTGGCTTACTTGACTTGTTTATTTATTTGTTTACATTAACTTTTGCTTCTCCATCTGTGTGTGTTGTTTGTTTTTTTTTTCACTTGCGCATTCGCTTCTTCCTTTTCTTCTTTTTTTCTCTTTTTTTTCTTGTGTGTTTCGTGTGTTCAGAAATCCTGTTTTTTTTCTTTTTTCGTGTTCTTGTTCATTTTTTCTATCTAATATCTCTATTGGATTTCTCTATTTTCTATTTAATAACTATCTTCCTATTCACGTGTCTGTGTAGTCTTGCCTATCTGTTTGTTTTTGTGTAAACATCACATTTCAAAATGTCGTCTGGCAATGTACTCGATCAACCGGCAGCAAATAATGCTGGGGCAAGTTCAGCAACATCAAACAATCTACAAAATAACAATAATCCAATTTCAAACAACAATAATACTGTTAATAACAACAGCTCATCTTTTCAACCTGTACGTAATAATTCCGATAATATGGGGCATGCATTTGAAAATTCAATGCAAATGTTTGCTATGAAACAGCAACCAATGGCATCACCTATTACAGGAACAATCTATACAGGTCCACCAGCAAAATATTTAAGTAATGGTGGAATGAATAGCAATGGATATGCAACAGGCGGACCTATGAGACCGATGTTGCCACCACAACAACACAATAGATATGGTTCATATAATGGAAATAATCAAAATTATAATAGCGGTGGACCATCCATGCAACAACAACGTCGACAAAACAACAGTGGCGTTGATAATGCAACGAATGATTCAGTCAAGTAAATATTTGAATTTCGATTGGGTTCATAATGCATATTATTTTTTATTTTCATTTAATTTAAGTACACGAAAAGTATTTGTTGGTGGTCTTAGTCCAGATACAAAAATGGGTAAGACATCATTTTATTATTGATTGTTTATATTTGAACATGTCACTCTTTTCTTCAAGAACATCTCTGTGAATATTTTGCTAAATTTGGCAATGTTGAAAGTGCTACTGTTAAATTCGATAAATCAGGTCGTTCAAAAGGTTTTGGTTTTGTTCTTTTCGAAGATCGCGATTCAACCGATAAAGTAATAACAATACATAAGTGAACCATTTTTTTCAACCTATAAATGCCTTTTTTTCTTCTTAAAGGTTTATTCACAAGATTTGCATGTCATTCAGGGTAAACGTGTTGACACTAAATCAGCACATCGTCGAGATCAAGCTCTTGCGCGTAAAGTATTTGTTGGTGGCTTAGATACTGAAGTTAGTGATGTTGAATTAAGAGAATATTTTGCAAAATTTGGAAAGGTTTGTTTTTGAGTTGTTCTTTTTTTTGAATCTATTCAAAATGGAAAAAAATTGCTCAATGTTTAGATCGCTCAAATTGAAGCACCTATGGATAAAATTAAACAAAAACGACGTCCATTTTGTTTTATTCTTTTTGAAAATGAACAAAGTGCTGAAGAAGTTCTTAAACAACCACGTCATACATTAGCTGGGAAAACTATTGATTGTAAACGAGCGAATCCAAAAACTACAGAAAATAATCAACAAAATAATAATGCAAACAATCCTATGCATGCACCATTAGCACATTATAATATGCCAGGATTGAGTCAAAATCCATTTCAATATCAACAACGTAAATAGCAGAGAAAATTTAAAAACAAAACTTCTATTGAAATATTTATTTTAGAACAACGTTCACAGCAACCACCATCGCATCAACAATTACAATATCAACAGGCTGCACTTGCTGCTCAACAACAACATTATCCATACTATAAGTAAATTATAATAAAATGTTCTTTTGATTCTCAATAGAAAATTTTTTTTTCCTTTTTCTTTTCTATTTGATTTTAGTTCATCATCATTGGGAATTTCATCAGCTCAACAACATCAACAAGCTAATCAACAAGGACAAAATCGTTCTCAAACAAATCGACAACAATTACAATCGAATAATCAAGGTCTTGCTCAACCTTGGTCACCAATAAGTCCAGCTCAATGGCCGAATACAAACTATGGTAATTGAACTAAATTTCAATTAATGATTTACTTTAATATGAATATTTGCTTTTTGTTAAATTTAGCCGATCCTCGTTCATATAGCTCTTATGGTCCTTCATCAGCATCTGGAACAAATGCTACCTGGCAAGTTGGTCCTCCACCGCAAGGTAATTCTTATGGACAAGGACGAACACCATCTGCAGGTCCATCAGGAAATCCAGCTAATACAGCTGTAGGTCCACCACAAACTCAAGCACAATTTGGTGGAGCTAATTCTAATGCGGCTCAATATTCATATGCTGGTTGGGGTTTCAGTCAACCACAAGGTTCACAAGGACCACCATCAGCTGGACCACCAAACCAATACAATTATGGAGCTGACTCAACGAATGGTCCACCTAGTGCATTTGCATATCAAGCACCAACAGGTTATGATCATTTCTCCTCGGATTCGGCACCTCCATCCAATTACAGTCGTTGATGAAAGAGCACACTTATATACTGTACAGTCTTCGTCTTCTTTTTTTTTTCTTTTTTTCCCCCTTATTCTACTTTTTGTTTCGTAGTCCTTGATTATCATTACTTATATCATTAAATAGATACGAATGCTAGTGCATGTGTATTGCGTGTGTGTGTCATTTGCTTGCTAAATAATTATTCTTGTTCTTTTTTCCTGCGTCTTCATCATTATCATCATTGGTTTTTGTTGATTATTTGTTTCTTTTTTGTATATGATGCAGAATGATTATTTAAAAAAACACTTTTGTATTCTGGAATATTATTTTTTCGAACATCATCATCTCAGATATTTTTGACGTTGCTTTTTCTCTCTTGTATTCATTACTTTCGTGTTTTTTTTCTTTTTTCTGCAATCATTCAAAACAAAGATCTTGGAAGTTATTTGCTGTTGTTGTTTGTTATTTACCGGTTTTTGGATGATGATTTTATTCATGTAATTTTTCTTTAAACAGACACAGTATTTCTATCATACACATACATACAAATGCGAACAAGTTTCTTTTCTTTCGTTTCTTGTTCAATACCAAACAAGGCTTTATTAAGTCGATTTGTGTGTACGATAATCTTTTTTCTTCGTATCTTTTTTTATTCGCGTCTCACATCATATTTTTTGACGTGATTACTATTGTTGTTATTGATGCTGATCTTGAATTTCTCTTTTTTCTCGTGTTTGGCACATACACACATGCACACATGTTTTTGTATTCTATGGTTTAATTATCTGAACAACTAGTTCGACATCGCGCATACATACACACACACACACGCATGCATATACACTCGTACATAACGTTTTCTTGTTTTTTTTTTGTTGTTTTCTTTTTGGAGACCCTTTCTTTACTCTTTTCTTTTTCCTTGTTCTTCACAACATTTTTTTTCTCGTCATTCGATTTTTGTCAAAACAAAGTTCGAATAAAACTACGAAAAAAGTCAAAAGAAATACGATACATTTTAAAAATTAATTGTAATCAAGATAATACTCAAACAATATGATTTGTCGCCTATTTTCTATCTTAATCGTTTAGGAACAAAAAGTATTCATTGCATAATGATTAAATCAAAGAATACAGAACGACGATTATTATTTATTTCGAATAACAAACCAATACGCTTTCGCAAAGCCTTGATAATTTGAGACAAGGTCGAGCTTTTTTCTTTTTCTTTAAAAACGAATGCTTTCAAGCGGAACAGACCATTTATTGTTGTCTTAAAATCAAGGTTTGCTATGTGCGGTCTCTCATCGTGAAAAGTAGTGTGCGTATAAAGTGTGCTATTACTATCTTTTTATTATTGTAAATTTTCAATAAATAGGACTAACCAAAAGGTTTGAGAGATATGGGTGGATCTAGTTCTCGTAAAGCAAAGAATACACCTATTCCAACTTATTCAGTCGGTCTCAATCGGCCAGTTGGTCAACTTAACACTGGTATTGGAAATGCATCACCTGCAAATCGTGATCCGCAACGAGACCTTATGCAAGCCAATCAGACGATTGCTAATCTAACTAATCAAATTCAAGCTATGCAACGTGGAGGTGGTTCACCGGTGCCTTTTGGTGGTTATTCACCACCTTATGGAATTCAACCACCTGCACCCTATGGTGGTTATTCACCGCCTTATGGTGGTTACCCACCACAATATGGTGGACCGCCCAGTCCTCTTCTTCAAAATTTTGGTCGACACTCTCCGTATCAACATCAACAACAGACGGGAGCTGGCGGTTATCGAGATACTGACTTTGCATCGGTTGCTAGTATATCTGGATTAAATGCATCAGATGTTGCACTTCTTCATCGAGAATTTATGAATTTAACACGTGGTGGTACAACAAAAATGGATCGTTCTATTTTTCGTTCATTGTTACGCGATGTTCTTATGGAACGCAGCAATGACTATGTTGATCGTGCTATTGAAAATATCTTTCTTACAGTTGATCGAAATCATGATGGTCATATTGATTTTGCAGAATTTGTTGGTGCATTTAAAGATGTATTAAACGGAGGTAATATAGATGCAGACGGTATCTATGGTGATAGTTTAATACCTGATATGTTTACTCAAGAAATAAGAGCAAGTGGCTTCGGTGCAGGTGCTCTTCCCCGTGCAATAGCAGGAGAACAACAGTCTCAAGCCGGAGTAGCACAATTCTTTCCATCAAATGGCTTGAGTATGGTACCGTTAGCATCAACAGGTATTCAACAAATGCCACTTAATTATGGCGGTGCAGTACCTCTACAAATATCAAATGCACAAGCACCATTAATTACTCTTGATCAAAGTCAATCATCGTTTGTAATCGCAACTCCTGGACAATATTTGATAACACAACCTACAGCTTTACAATGTGTACCGTTACCGATGTCATGCTGAAGAACCTATTCTCTGTTTTTCTTCTTCTTCTTGCCTAGTCAAAAAGAAGATAATATAATTTTATCTGTATTTTATGCAATGAGTAGATCCTATTATTTGATCCATTTATGAGTGGAAATTAATCAAAACTATCTAGCTATTCATTATGAAAATATATTTTTTAATTGAAGATTCAATCTAAAACATCAAATCGACAATATGATTCTACTAACAACATCAATTTGATCGATAGGAATTCGTACGATTAAACCGAATTTATGTTTCAAAAAAACAATATATATATATATATATAAGCCAATATCTACAGAATTTCAATGAAATTATTAACGAATCGAAAACAAATAACTATTTGTATTTTACTCAAACTATTTCAATAGGATAGAATTTAGTCGTTATTTTCAAAATCGAGAATGCTTCTCATAGCTACGCATTTTAGATGATGATACTGTAAGGATAGATTAAAAAAAACGTCATATAAATATTCAACCATTTATCTAACCTAAATCAAATGAAAGCTGTTACAATAATAATTGCTTTTGATATATTCTATAATTTTTCATTGCTATCTTTTTGATTCCAACGCTAAGAGTGATATACAATGAATATCCTACAGCTGATCCATAGTTTATGGGAGTTGGAAGATTCTTAAAAAATATCAGGTTTCTCCTCAAGAATATTGATTTTCGAATTTAATCAAAGTAGTTTATTATAACAAAATGTAAGCCTTTAGATTTATTTCTATTTCTATTTCTATACGGTCATGAGCACGTATGTCCGTTTGTTTCATGGCATGCTCACATCATTTAATTGGCATAATATACTACATAGCCTATAGACTTAAAGATTATCAACCAATTGCAAAACTTCTCACAGCAGTTGCAGTTTGAATAGCAAATGTTTTTGTACTGTTTGATTAGTTTGAAAAAAAATTTTAAATTAGTCTATTGCTAAAACTCATATTGCAATCAAAAGTTAAACTAAAATTTTATCGAAATATATTTTCAGTTTTCAGCAATTGTGTTTGTTTTTCACTATATAATCATAATGATGAAATTTTCTGATCACAAAATTTTTAATTCATTACGATAAAATGTAGTGTATCTGAATTGTTAGAGAAAAGATCAAAGAGAAAAACATAATAACAAATGGCAAAGCTGAAGAAAAGAAAATCGATGTTTCTTTATTTTGATATCCAATATAATTGTTGTTAACACTCAAATTACAAAAAGGAAAACAAAACTGCTCAACATGTCGCCGTTTCTATTAATCACAGCTTTTTCTTTTCTTTTTCTTTTGATTCTTTTCGCACAGATGACAAAAGAAAATATCTTAAGAGCCATTGTGCATAAGCCGCGACCGGTTATCATATAGGCTGTTCAGTCTATCTTCTCAAATTTCGACTTCATTTATATATTTTAAAGCTACGCCATTCACTAAGTGTTTTGCCACCAACCGCACCTCAATAGTTCAAACCGTAGCTGAGATATTGAATTTTTAATAAAATTCTTTGCATGTCAAACTAGTGACTTGCGATTTGTAATATTTCGATGTTCACTGTGTAATTTTTAAACAAGACCACGTGGAGTTCTAAAATTTTCAGCGATGGCATAGAATTGATTTTGCTACAAAATGACCTAGCCATGGCTCCACAAGTTGCTGGATTGACGAGTTATAGATGATGCTAGTGGCCGAAATCGTTCATAAACTCGCTCATGGGTAACCACCTACATACAACAACTATCTTTCAATAAAGATAGTAGATATATGGCGCTATAAAATAAAAAAATAAAACTTTGGGTTTCAAATACGAGCGGGAGATAATGAATCTTTTCTACAATTGACTGCATTTTGAGCATTTTCAAATATCCCAGGTCGAACAGCCCGGCCTGAAAACGGCCGGTTTCGGGTAGTTCCGTTGATTTCCGATCAATTCCTGCCGGAAAGCACCGGAACCTGGCAGGGATCCGCCGGAAGAGTCAGTCCTTATTTTTGACCGGAATACTGCTTCCATGTTCCAGCAATTTCCCGTGTTTTCCTGCAGAATATGGTGAATTTCCCGCATATTTCCTGGAGTATCCTACGGAATCCGGTGGCGGGAATGTTCGACCTGGGATAGAACAATTTTGGCGAAATTTGTTTTACGTTAAAGAGAAACACATCTTTAGGAGCATTTTACGTCCTGAATCGGGTAATAATGTTATTTATTGTCATACTATTAATCTTACTACGGTATTAGTCATTTTACCTGTATGGCTTCTCTTGAAATTGTGACGAGTATTGTTAGCAGGAATATTTACTTGCCAAGAAAAAGCTAAATAATTTTAATATGTTCTTCCAGTGGATTTAGTTATTACTGACGTTATTTTATTATTTTGTCACTGCTATAATCGAGCGAAACAATTAAGCTTCATCGAATCAACAATTGTTTCTCTCCCTACTTCCCAGGTGAATGAATCCGACAGTGAATACTATCGGATCTGACTACTCGACAGAACCCAGCCGGATTCCTGGCCTAGAACCTACTAACGGATCCGACGGAAAAAAAAACATTTTCTAAACCACCAATGAGTAAGCATATGGTGTCAACGTAACACATGGGTCGAATGCTTATGTTGGATTCCGTTAAATTCTGACACTGGAACCGATCGGATTCCAACGCTAGGGTTCCGATTGTAGGCCCCATACCCAGATACCGATAGGATTTCGTCGGTTTAATGAAATCCATACTATATCCGATAGGATTTCGAGAGGACCCTACTATCGGAATCATTCTCCTGGGAATAATTATATTAATATTATTCAAATTAGCAGCAGCCTTATTTAAAGATGATCTAAATAACTTATTTTGGAGTTCATTACTATAAAATCCAATACTCAATAAGGTACACTTAGTGCGGAGCCAATTGCGTCATATTTTACATCATCATCAATAAAAGCAAAAAGCTTATCTGGATAGATTCCAGTTAGCAAAAAATCTGGCACTTGACATACCAAAAGCACCAATATTTGTTACCGTAATAAGTTATTCACCATTAGAGTCCATCGGGTCCAAGAACTTTTGAACCCGAACCCGAACCTCGTACATCAAAAATATTTGGATCTATACTAGTGATGGCACTAAAACATTGAAACTACTCTGATAGAATTATTCAAATTGAAGGAAACTCCTTTCCATATTATAAAACCCCCAAATTGTATCCCGCAAAAACCATCAAAAGTTTGCAAAATGGTGTTCTTATAACAAAACATATGATTTTCTTAGGTTTTTTTTCTATTATGGGAGGAGGTTTAGCATTCCTCCAGTTTAATCTTCAAATTATGAACTAAAATAAGCATATCTTAAAGTTTAACTTTCTGAAAAGTCAAAATTTAAAGTATATTGTTCAGAAAATCGTCCTTTTGTTAAAATTATTTTTTAATGAAAAACAAATAGATCTGAAACAAAACGTACTCTTAAACTTGCAATCAATTTTTCTAATGGAATCTGATGTTTGTTCCAAAGTTACGGCATACTTCTGTCCTTTTATGTTATATAACTAGTACATCTCACATGTTCTTTCAACTATCACATAACGAGTTTTTAATAATTAATTTATGATGGACTCTGATTCCTAGCGACTCGCTAGTAGTGTGCCGGTTCGGATGGAATTAGGAATGAATGCATTGAAGTGTTTATATTGTTTCTTATGTTAGATAGCTCCACCGCCAACAGCATCGACTTCATTTTCACTGAATTATATTGCATAAAAATTTTCTTGTGATCTGACCCAGTCAGTAAAAAGAAATTTTAACCTGGGTCCGGGACCCCGGCCCGGTCTAAAAGAAATTTTGGACCCGGATCCGTCAAATCGAATTAATATTTAAAACTTTGTTTTCAGTACTTTTCGAAAAGTATTGTAATGTTCAAGAAACTTCTTTATCTAGAATTTACATCGGAATTTATATACAATATGAAACAAAACTGTTGTAATCATATATAATAATTGATTGAAAATATTATACTAAACAAAGGAATTTATAAAAGATGATGGTCTTTTCGTTCGTTTTGTTTATCCTTTGCACGAGACAATACATTACATATTTTTTTATTATTTGAAATCTACGAATAAACAAAATATTTGTCTAATCGACAGAATTACACAGAAAGAAATTTCATTTATCGAATTTGATTTGATAATCGATTTGCCGATAGAGTACTTATTTATTTTATACGAGACACAATATTTTCTATGTCATATTTATTCAGTGAGAAACTCAAATGTATAATATATAATCAGGTATCTCTTTTTATAAATGAATCGATCGTAAATGATCTTAACAAATACGTGAAAATATTTACAATAGCCAACTTTGTATTTGTAAATTATAGAAGTAATTGAGAAGTGATTTATTCGATGGTATTTTTATCGCGTAAACATGAATTTTTCAAGTTGACCGAAAGTTATCTTGTCTTGTAGATTTCAATGAGTTACATCTACGTCAATACTGAAAGATCAGGTTAAAAAGTCGCTCCTCTAGGACGATATGGATATTGGTGTTTACATTGTGAAATACATATCTATGATATCTGTTTCACTAATTCTTTGATTTAAATATCCTTATTTTGCAATTGTATTTTGTACACGATCATGACGAGCAATATTTTCTTTTTGACATAAGAAATTCTTGTTGATTAAAAGAATCTTCAGTCTAATATATGATGAAAATAAGTCATGATACTGCAATATATTATGTAGATTTTTGATAGTTTGGTTTTTAAATTATCCTGCTAATTGTTTTTCTACAACCAATAATTGATATCCACCAAGCGAAGGTTTTTTAAAATTATTCATTAGCTCTTTATTCATTCAAAAGATACGAAATTAATTCCCTGTCTTGAATATTTGCTTAATGATTATCTTTATAGTTGATGGTGTGACATTTTTACGGAATCAAGTTTTTGAATTAGCAGCTCGAATTGCAACTAGTATTGATAGCTGAACTGAAGTAAATAGAGGAAGTTCAGACGCCATCTTAGCTCATTGTAAGAGATTAGGTAAGACATTTACGGCCATCGTATTTCTTCACACACTTTTCCCATATGACGAATTGACACATATTCATCGAGTACTTATATTATGTTCACTCAATACTATACGCTATCAAGTAAGATTAGAATTTTGTTTTTTGTCAACTAAATCCCCACATTGAGTTGAAAGTTTTTTTCTTTAAGGTAGATGGTAGTAGTCTGGATGGTGAAATGTAAATAGATTGATTCTCTTTCATCTTGTTTTCTAACTTCGTCATATGTACAAAATCGATCGAGCCTTTCCCTAACGCTAAATCTACTTATAACATATAGCTATATATAGCTATGTGAAAAATTCTATTTCTAATTTAACAATAACTATGTAAGTGTTAAGTTCGAGCTATGATTATTATTTTTCTTTTATCATATTCGTTCTAATTGCATAATTTAATTCAAATATATTCGTAAAGAATTAAATTTGAAAAAACAACAAATCTATCGCTCTTGTTCGTTAACTATGTCCGACAATGAGATACATTGAAGAAATCAAGATAACACTATCAATATAAATAAACAAAAAGTCAATAATTTAGTTTGTTTGTTTCATTTAAAAAATCTTTCTTCCCTTACCTACTTATGAAAACTATTGTGTGTTTAGTGACTATTAGGGCGGAACACGTTGAGCGTCACGAATAGGCGTTAAATGTTTATATTTGGCAGAATTAGTTCGTTTAGAAAAAAAGACAACTTCTTGTTGACATTAGCTTGGACACGCTCATTCATGTATTCAAAAGTCAACAATTTTGGAATTAACAAGGTAAGAAATTGAAATTCTTTTTTTTTCGCCTTTTCTAGATAACAACGCCGTAAAAAAATGGCTCACTATCATTTCCGACACACATATAAACAGTTATCTTCATCACCTAATACATCGATCAATTCGAATTTTGGCAAGTAAGCTCCGAATCTAATTTTTTTATTTTTTGCATCTACATTTTTCCCTCCTTTTTTCATAAAGCTGATTCACAGCTTGTTTGACCGTTGGATTCGAATACAACAATCTACTTCGATTGTTTCGCATAGGAGAAAAGAGAACGAAGACCAATGACCGAACGTTCTTCTCTTCTCTCCCTACCACCATCGGTGAAACGAGAAAGAAAAAAATTCGATTAATTGGAATCGGAGAAAGAGGGAGAGGGAATACGAAACGTTATAGAATAACCGTTGGCGAGAAAGAAAAAGGAAAAAAAGCAAAACAAGATTCGTTCACTCCCTCTTTCCATTCTCTTTTCCATACGAATATTTATATACGAACAAGACGGCATACAGTTGCCTTTACTTGACTAACATTCGATTAGAATGAATACCACCACTACCGTCAATACGAGTCCTTTGTCTTTACTAAGGTATTTACATAAAACACAAAGACACACATAACAAAGTCTTAGTTTTTTACTTAATCCAGATAAAGAAAAACATCTTTTTTGCTTGTCCTAATTCTAGACGGACACCACGTCGAAAACTATTTTCTTCAAGTGAAGATGATGATAGTCCACTTTTAATGTCTTTAAGAACATCAAAGTCAATATCACTACTTAATGGTAACAATAATTCAGCAGGTAAAATTTTAAAAGTTTATTTTCCATTTGTTTCAAAATATTTATTTATCTATTTGAAAAGCTATTATTCCATTAACCGGTATCCTTGAAGCACGAACCACATTGTAAGATTTTTAAATACGCGCCAAAAACCCTAATGAAATAATGATTTCATTATTGTAGATCTTCAATTGAAAACAATCATGTTATATCTACTCGTCAATCAAAACTTGAACAATTTGGATTTGATATGTTACCTCGTTCATCAGCAGTACTAAAACGTCAATTATGCAAAGAAAATTTAAAACCAGTAACTGATTCAATTGTTCCTATTCATCGTACAAATAAAATAAAAAGAATGCGAACTATCGAGTAAAATACTTTCAATTGATTAAATCAAATACAAAATCTTATTGTTTTTGTTTTAATTTTTAAGAGCACAACAACAATCGATAATGCCGTCGTCGTCTCATACAATGAAAACACGATTTCAATCATCAACAGTTTGTGAAACTTAGTTTTATTTTTAAAAACAAACTAAAAGTTTATTTCTTTCTATTCTATTAGGATTCTCATTCAGATCATTTAGTTAAATTATTTGATAAGACACTTTCAACGGTCACACCTGTACGGGATAGTACAAATGAACATAATGTTATTAATAGTCGATACCGACGTGGACAACCATTACCGTTAATATTATCAGATAGTAGCCATGAAGATGATATGCCTGTATTGACATTGAGTGATAGTGATTTATCATCAAGTGAAAATAAAGTAGAGAAAATTTATTTTTCATTTATCAGATAAATTAATTTCGAAATCGTTAAATTAATATATATGTAGAAACGAACATTTGAACAACTACAAACCGATGAAAATAGTTGTGGTCGAATATTGAAACGAAGTAAAATTGCACATGATGAAGAAAATAAAGAAAACGCATTTTTTATTCAACCACCTGTATCAATTCGTATTCGACGAGGAGTGAGAAATAGGAAAAAGTCTTCTTTTTAAATTTATTTTAAAAAAATCTTTTCTTTTTTTGCTATTTTAGATTGTTCGTAGTTTTTCAGAACAACAACCGAGTGTAAATGAAGAACAATTGAAAGCTTCAGTTGAACTTGGTAAACTATTTTAGACAGAAGAGAAAAGCAAACAAGAATGATTTCTATTTAGGTTCAAATCGTAATTTAATCGGTGATCGTAGTCGAACTTATTTATTACCACGATGTATGAGTCGCAAACATGCTGATCTTGCTTGTATCAGTGCTGAAACAGTATGTTATTTGCTTATACTTTTATTTATTCGCCATGAGATTATTTTGATATCAAGTAAACAGTATTCGAGTGTTTTCTTATTGATATCTAACATAGAAATCAAACAAATCCATCAAAAAGAGCGACTATATCCATGTATACATAGAAAGTAATATGATCGTTTCTAATGATCATGCAGAAAGAATACAATTTCTTCATCTGACTAAATAACATAAGAACTTGAAATAAAAATAAAAATTTATTTTAACTTCTCCAAGATTGTAAAACCGACCTACATAAAAATTTCACCCACAGATAGTACATGTCAATGGCAAGATACATTAGGTAAGATAATTTGCATTTATCCGAAAAATGATTTCAAACCAGCTTATTTGACTTTTTTTTGATTGAGCGTAAATTTCGAGCGAAAGAAAATATCTAGTGTTTTCAGATATAATCGAATGAGTCGTAGTATGTCCCTAGAGGATCCTAAATTTGATGTTAGACAGAGGATGATACAAAGATCTGCTCTGATCGTCGAAAAATGAAAAAATTTCGAGAAAGACTTGTTTTAGAAGTATTTATCGCTGTTCACTTTATTATTCATAGGTTAGCTAGTCTCCCTCATCGACGTATTATAACAACATAGTCATCTATTCTCTACGACTAAAACCAAAAAAATTGAGCACAGATAACAAACTAGTTCATCATTCTACGTTGCTAAAATTATTTACAACACCAGTCTCAGAAAAACTTAAATGAGAAACTATAACATAATTGTCTCTTAAAGAATAATAATGTAAAAAATAGATTTTAACATTAAAGTCTAATACTTTGATATAAAACATTAAGTTAGATGAAATTTAACTAAATGCTCTTTCAATTATTCTTAATTATAAAATTTCTTTCTTTTTCCATAGACGATCGATCTTCTTCGTGGCAAATACTCTTCCGAGATTGAACAATTACATGTAATCGATTGTCGCTATCCGTACGAATACGATGGAGGCCATATATCGTCAGCAAAAAACATCTTCACAAGACCACAAATTCATGAAGAATATTTCCGATCACCAATTAAACTAAAAGATCCAACAAAACGAATTGTTTTTGTATTTCATTGTGAATTTTCATCAGAACGTGCACCCTCACTGTAAGTTTTGATTTTCTTCATAAAAATGAAAATATTAAATAAATAATTATTTAGATTACGTTATATGCGGTCTGAAGATCGAAATATTCATGCAAGTAATTATCCAGCTCTTCATTATCCAGAATTGTATCTATTAGAAGGTGGTTATAAAGCATTATTTGAACATTCAACAGTAAGATAACCTTTTTCTTATTAAAAAAATCCGGAATGATTTAATTTATATTTGGTTTTAATAGGAATTCTGTAAACCAAGTTTTTATCGTACGATGTTGGACGAAAAATTTCAAGAACAATGTCGGCAATTTCGATCATTTTCAAAACAATCAGAAAAATTCACTTGTTTAAGAGAAGATATATCTCATGTTGGTTATGGTATTCAAAGTAATAGTAGACGTACACGTACAACAATTCGTTCAAGTCTATCGTTATGTTTCACGAGTACATCGCTAGCAAATCAAATGGATCTCTCTTGAGAATAAAAGAAAATCATAAGAACAAATCTTTCTTTACTACTTTTTTTTCGTAAATTTTCTCTATGAAATATGAAGTGTGTGTGTGTGTTTGCATTTTCTCTTTCTCTACACATTCTCTAAATATATATTTGTCTGATATTTCTCATTGAATATGTTGTTCTTCTATATATATATATATATGTATCTGTTATGTACCTTCTTCTGTATTTGATTGACGACTCCTCAAACGATAGATTATTTGCGCGCGCGTTTTTAGTACTCGAAATTTTTTTCTCTCTCTCTCTCGCTCTCTGTCTGTCTTTGGCTACTTTCACAGTAAACCTTATACCGCAGCGCTTCTTGAAATATACACTTCTTTTCTTCCTTAAACAATGAAATAAGATTTACCTTTCTGTCTTTTTCCTATCTATCTGAAATAATTTTTTGTTACTTTGTGTCCAATTGAATTGTGAACACGAATGTGCGGTTTAAACAAAATTTAATGTGTGTCTGTTAAAGAAACAAGATTAGATCTTTTCTTCTTTGTGCTCGACCTCCTCCTTTTTTTTCTTGTCCATTATCGTGGAAAACTCTCTGTGTTCTCTTTTCGTTTCCTTTTGTCTGTATTGTATGTAGATCATTTTGCATGCTCTTTTTCTCTTCTCACTGACCAATGAATGGGTTCAACAAGGAGATCGTCTATAGAAACAAACACGACATTAGTGTTTCTTTTTGTCGAATGAAAAAAAACATTTAGATGTTTAATTTTTTTTGAACGAAATCTAAGATAAACATCTTTTAAGAGATATAATTTATAGTTCTTTCTATGCTACTAAATGAAAAGGTTGTGTTTTATGCATTTGCTCAAGCAAATCTGTTGCTCTGTAATTGAAGAGAGATGATTTAAGAAAAGCTAGATGTCGAACAAATAAATTCAAGTACGAGTATTGAAGAAGTTTTTCCTATATGTGATGTGCACAACATTCAAAGCTTCTTCTCTCTAGATTACGACTGAAAGCTGTAAAATTTTGGTACTGCACCAGTAGAGACACAACATAGTTCAGAAGAGCTAGAACATGATCGATTGATTTAAATAATCACAAAAACATCAATTTTTGTTGGAATTAATGTTAACTATGAGAAGATATATGGCACGTTCATATCAAATGATCAATCTATTTTCATTTATTCAATTCTTTTCAAATGAGCTTCTGTAATGAATGTGTTTGATTCCATTAGTTCACGCTATTTAATGAAAATATCTAATATTTATTTAGACAATCCGATAGATGTACGATTGAATGAGTTGTATTAAACACGTCGCAAATGAGAAAAATATCTGTTTCATATAAGAAAAGTATTTTATATTGTTTATTTCTCAAATCAATACTGAATTCGTTCCCGTCATAATCATTTATTAGTATCTTGCTGTGTCTATTCTTTGATGATGCTTATTTATGCTCTCAACGTCGAATTATTGATGATCATGACGACTAACGAACGATTGTTGTTTTCGCTTTAGAAAATGTTTTTTCACCGTTGTCAGCATGGATGATTCGTCTAACATAATACGATTGCATACATCTATGATCTTGTCAGCAGGAATGTGCTAAAAAACAAGGAATTTAATTGAGTGCAATAATAAAAAAACAACAACAGCAGCATGATATTATTTCTTTATCTAGTATATAAAATCTTCAATGAATATTTTGTATTAACAGATAATTGAAAGAAATGATTTTTCGAAGGGGAGGAATAATATTGAAGTAGTATTTCAGTTATCCTTTTAACAATCAATAATCAAATATATACTTTAGATGGATTGAGTAATAATAATTATATTATATTGATACTTTTTTTTATTGTATTTCTATTGACTAAGACGGGGGAGAAGTAAAAGTAAAAGAAACAGAAAGAAGATGATCCATTCATTCATTATTCAATTCGTACCTTGAGCGTGTGTTGCATTTGATCTTGGCGTTGCCTATCTAAAGAGAACGATGTCTTCTATTATGAAATTGTAAGTCGATTTTCTTTTCTGCTGTACATCATTTCCTTTAAAATTTTTGCATCAATTTTCAATTAAAGATTTGCCGTAATAAGTGTTTTGATTGTTCTAATAACTCAACTCACATTTGCACAAGGGCCATGTCCATTAGAAGAAGATCCAATACAATTGGCTGAATGTGCTCAACTTGATGTTCAAGCCATTATACAAGCAGCAAAGGGCAATTTAAAACTATTTTGTAATTTAGCTGAACGATACATGGAATGTTTCAAAACTAAAACTCGAAATTGTATTGGTGGATGGGTATAAAGAAAAACAAAAGCATAGTTCTTCTTGAAAATATTTTTTACGGTTTTCTTTTTATTATGTAGGTAGCAGAAGGTGGTTTTACTGAATTACAAAATTTAGCTCAATGGTGTTGTGTTAATCCAGGTGTTCAAGAACCCGATGAATGTCCACTACGTCGTAAGATCGATGATTATTTATCATAGATAATCTGAATTGATTCTTAGGTAATCCCAAATGTTTTTCGGGCGATGGTTATGTTTCAATGGCAAATGGCAATACAAAAGTTTTACGTGATGTTCGACCAGGTGATCGTGTCCTCGTTATGAATTCCGAAAAACAAATTGTAGAAGATGAAATTATGATGATGCTTGATAGTCAACCAAATCGACCTGGTTAATATGTCTTTGTTTTGTTTAGTTTTAATTTTAATGATATTCTTTTTTAATGTTAGCTTTATTCTATTCCATTGAAACTGAAACTGGCCATCGTTTAAGTTTGACAGGAAGTCACTTTATTGCTGTTAACAATAATGATCGTTTTATTCCAGCGAATACAATCAAAGCACATGATACTGTTTTCATTCATCATCAGGGTAAACTTCAACCAGTTCGTGTTCGAAATGTAACTGAAGAATATAAAGTTGGTTATGTCACACCAATGACTGGTCAAGGTTAGTTATTTTTATTTGATTCAAAATCAAACAAAAAGCTGCTCTTTTTTTCTCTATCAAATCAGGTACTTTAATTGTTAATGGTATGGCTGCATCATGCTATTCGAGTGTAGTTAGCCATGATTTGGCTCATAATATGTTAACACCACTTCGTTGGTGGTATCGTTTTGCAAAACTTTTCTCTGTTCAAACTCCATTTGGTTGTACACCTGATAGTGGCATTCATTGGATACCAAAAGCAATGCTAGAATTAACAGAAAAATATTTACCAAGTGTACTGACAACACAAAGTTTATAATCGACTTAAATACACGTTTCCAAAGACATATATTTATTCTTGCACTAGTATTCACATCTTTTTTAACAATAATGTTTAACCAAAATATATGCTTTTTATCTTATGCTTATCTATTCAAATTCAATTTGCATTTTAATATTTATCTTATGCATGTTTTCTATTGTAAAGATAATCATTTTCAATAAAACTGGTTATAGCTTTATTCTGTTATTTTTAACTTTCTAATATGACAATATCTTGTAGAAATCACTATTGCAATCAGTACTTGGTTATTGACGAGATTATCTGTTCAAGAAAAAAAAAGATTTTTCTTTGTAGGATTTTAACTATTTCAATTGCTTTGCAGATTAAAATACCGTTTTATTTCGATTGCAATATACGTTAGTCTACAAATAAATAATAAAAATGAGCGTTTTTCTTTTCGTTGATTGTGTTTTATTATTTGCTTCAGTTGTCTTTTGTATGCATAAATTTGTGCTAATAGACAAACCAATTTTATTTGAAGGTTTTATAATAGATGAAAGAAAAAACTTTATTCAAAAAGACAATTTGATGTCATAGCTTTTGTAACGCTGATATCTTATTGGTCAGCTTATATTACTCGAAATGGTTGGCCACGAAATAAATTTGAAGTCTAGTTTGTTTCAATTCTTATGAAACATATTGATGAATCTCAACTTTTGATTATCTATTTTGAACAACGACTTTTGGTCGCCAATATTTATTGATATATCGCATTATCAATACTTACGCAAGAGGATTTTCATATTTACTTTAGTATAAAATTTGAGAACTAAAAAAATATTTCTGAATAGATGGAAAATCTGTCATTACTTAGAAATTTCTCAAAAACTGATGATCGTATTAGAGAAAGAGTCCAATCAATTATTTTTGAACATATTTGAATGGCATTAATAAAAAAAAAACGTTCGCAAATAATTTCTAAAACTAATTGAAAAAGAAATAGATCGATTCATATCCTTTATTGTAGGTTATCCACTTACGCTAGAATCAACAGATATCAATAAGCATGCCGAGCTGTTATTGGCAATTGATAATTAAAGAGTATCACTCTGACTAGATGAGAGTACAAAACCTTTATCTTGAAAGTAAATTTAATAGATATAGTTTAGAAATTTGTAACAGCATCATAAATTATTCAATGATGAACAATTCAACTTTATCTTTGTTGACGTTATCTTATTGAAGAAAAATAATTCTAAAGTACAGCCAGAAGGGACACGAGTTTCCTTTAATAATAAATGAAAATATTTCATTGCAGAAATTGTTTTTCCTCTTATTTACTATTCTTCATTCCGTAGTAAAAATGTTTTTGTATTTGAAAGATATTTTAGAGTCTATCATAATAATCATTTTTTTTAAACATTGGTCATTGAATCGTCCATCCATCAGTTTTTATTTAGCTTCGATAGATCAAGCCAATTAAACTAAATAGCTACTTTTCAAATTGCAGCACTTCAGTGGCGTTTGAGAAAAATCCTTGCCACCAATATATAGAAGTGAATAACAACGTTCAGTATAATTACATACACAGTAAATCTCTCGTTTTGCTTCATGAACAACGACGTTATACATGGGTAGTCTTTCTATTGGAAACTTTAATTACTTCATGATTATATTATCATAAATGTACTATAGTTGCGTTAAGTTCTTGGTAAACAACCTTTATCATCTAAACAACATGAACCATTGAAAGGTTGTACAAAATAGATAATTAGACAAGACAGAAGTTTGATGGAATGCATCACGTCTTGTAAGTTTCTTTATGACGATGAGAAGAGCAACAATTAAATATGTTTACAACGCTTGTAGATTAACGTTAAAAAATATCATGTAGGTCAAAGTACTGTTTCTTTTGATAACACATATAAAATATCAAATTTTCATTCGCTGAAGAAAACAAGACGTAGATCACCAATGATTAATTGACTTTTAAAATTTTTTATTCAAAGCTTTTTCACAAATAAAGCCTTTCTGCTTTCCCCCTTCGTCTCATATGTTTCTTAATTATAGGACTAGACCGTTGCAGTTATTTTTCTCAAAAAAGCTTTCACACTTATTCAAAATACAAGAATTATAATTTAATACGATTTTATGATCAATAATAGCCTTATACGAACGAATATTAGCATGCAAATAATCTATGCGACACTATGGAAGTCGTACAATAAGAAAAACAGTCTTACTTGTTTTGGTTTCTTTAAGTAACGAAAAAGTTGCCACAGGAAAAAGTAAACAAAAAAATGGGCACTCGTTGGCAAACAAAAACACAAAATAAAAAGAAGTTTGAGAAAAAAATCTAATCGGAGACGTTCGCTATTGATATATTTCTTTCACATTTTTCATTCAATCAATGTTTTGATTACGTTTTTGTTTTTATAAAAGAAATGTATTTATTTCGAATATTACTTCTATTGGTTTTAAATTAAAATAAAACTATTTAGATCAATATTTTCGAGATATAGTTTGAGAGCCATAAAATACTTTATGATTACTGTTAAATTGAAATTTCTTTCTTCGACGAACTACTAGAATAAGTTACGATTGACTATCATACTAAAATTCTTCGTACAGATAAATAAAAAATTATCAATTGTATACTGTAGAATTGTATCTATTCAAATCGAAATTTTTCAAAATAATTTCATGACTGCCTATATATAATACAAATAATCATCATAATTACGCGATTAATTGATAAAATTTCACTACCATATTTTGTTAAAAAAATCTTTCAGAGTCGAAGCTCATTAAAATGTACTCTCTATCAACAAAATATCAATGCTTGAGCATATGAGCAGCACCGTTAAACCAACTAGATCCGATATCAACTACAGTATTGTTTAACATGAAATTTGTCGGTCAAAATAAAATACAAAATAGACATAGCAATTTAGTAATGTTGTAGTCTGCATCTTTTTACATGAATTTGTAAGATTTTTAACGTCGCTATAAGTTTCTTTTGCTCTCATTCTCTCTCTGATACGGCTTCTACTTTTGGATTTATCTTTTCGTTCTGCTCGTTTTTTTCTCGTAACATCTTATGGATTTTGTGATTTTGTTTTCACGCTTTACGTAGTGGTTAACTCTCTTTGTTAAAATGGATGAATAAAGATCTATACAAAAAAATTAATTACAAGTAAGATTAAGATTTTATAAATAGAATTTTAAGTTTTCAAGCAATATTTTGTTCAGAATATTAAAAACAAAAAAGAAACATCTCTTGAATTTATATAAGCACTCAAGTTTTACAGGGAATAGCAATATTGCAGTTGATCTGATTATAGAAGTTTCACGATAAGAAATACGATTAAGTAGATAATTGGGTATAATCTATTCGATATTGACCCTGAAGTGGTAGTTGTTGATACTGAAACAGATACTTCTGTAGTTGTTGTAGTTGTTAATACTGAAACAGATACTTCTGTAGTTGTTGTAGTACTGCTTAGCCTTGATGGTTGAAAGTCTGGATGCAAAATAATTGTTGTTTGAATCTGTCCTTTCAACAATTCCACGGTTTGAATCGAATTGCAATAATCTTTTGTACACTTTAGTTCTACTTCATTGATTTCCAATTGTTTTTCTTGTGGAAGATCTAGATAATATGTTGCACGAACTCGAATACTTGGTATTTGTGTAGATATAGAAAATGTTCCACAATTACTAAAGAAATTATACGTGCAGTTATTTGTCGGTGTGACTAAATAACTATGAATTTGATCAATGTAACATATACCATTGGTGCATGGGTCTTGTTTGCATAAAACCGCAGTCAACTCATTAATACATGCACTGCATGAGTAGCAATGTTGAGCTGGCAATTGTCCGTTTAACAGTTCTGAACTTAGTATCGATTGATTTATTGTTATTTGAAATGATTCTGGTAAATATTCTGCTAGTGAAATATTATTACAACCATCCCAATCACAACCATAACTCATAGAACTAAAACTCGGCTGAGCCCATTCCGTACCCGAGAGGGACATCATTTCAACAGCTTGAATAAAGTGTGTATCTTGGAAAATATTTGCAGCTATGGCTTCAAATACGCGTTGTTCAACATTACCATTATACGAACTTGTGATAAAACACACTTTATCACCAACTTCTGTTAAAATACAACTTGATAAGAACTCCACCGATGAACAAGTAGTACTATTAGTGTCCCAATTAAAGATGCAACCACATAAATAACATTTTCTACTATCTACTGGACAAATCAGTAGTACAGTAATACTGACGAGAACAGCGATTATTCGCATAGCTTTAACGAAGTTATCAACAATCAAAACGCTTTCTTTTTTTTCACGCTTTTATACCCAAAACATCACTATTTGTTGTAATGTGTAAAGTAGCTGTAAAACTCTCTCTTTCTTTTTGATCAACTAGAGTTATAAAACAATTTATAGTCCATCAAAAGGAATCACAGACCTCTTGTCTATAATCAATGGTTTATGATGCATATATCAAAGTATTTAGTCCCTGAAATATATATATATATATGCACTCTGTAGGAGAGTTGAAAATTTTCATACCAATTATTATTATTATTATTATTATTATTATTACTATTCAAGTTCGATCGAACATCATTGCAATATGAAAACTTATTTGTTGTTGGAGAAATATTATCCTTTAAAATCTTGCTAAAAAACTGATTCTCTAGTTGATAGCATAGAAAAATTTGTTCGTACTGCGGTGCATGGTGTGAAAAGGATAAGAACAATTGCTGTTATTGGAAAGGAGGCGTTGCCATGATACTTCACTTGACATGAAAACTTCCATATTTCTGTTCTTTTTCTTTGATTAACAACTCCTTCATACTGTTTGCGAAGAAAAAAAACTGAAATAAACGGACGTCACACACGCGTTTGCTTACTCGCATACTTTACATATTGCTAATCTTAAAAATCGAGAAGAAGGGGAAACAGAGAGAAAAAGGAGAGAAAAGGGTGGAACAATAGCTTTATTCAATAGGTGAATAGATTGCTAAACAAACAAAAAAATACGTCTAAACGTTCATCGATGCGTAGTCAATATAGACCTCTTTTTTTGTTGGGCACACTTTAAATCAAATTTTAAAAAAATACCTTGCAATACAATGGTAACTGTAACAGCTCGTCGTAATTCATTTTCAAGATTCAATCCTGATTTATTTTCATTTGAACGACAAAGCTGAAGGCGAAAAATAATCTGACCGTCGCTTAGAGTCTTATTTAGGTGTTATGAATCACAACTTTAGAATGTACAACGGCTTGAAACGATTGTGAATGTTTTGGAAAAAGAAAAACTTCAAATAGAAATCATAACAGTACAAATAGAGAGGAAATCATTTTATATTTATAGGAAAAAGAACGAGACTGTTGTTTATCGGAGACAATCGTATTGTAACATAAAACCATCGCTTAAAATACCGCAACCATTACAAATTGTAACAAAAAAAATGTTAGCCAACAAAATTCGAATCACTACTGTCTCGTAAAATCAGAATAGACGAAAACATTCATTACCTCAAAACAGTATGTTTTTGATGTTAATGTTTTCATAGTTCATAATTCATGAAATCTCTCAACGTGCCACTCGTTTCTCAGCGTGTGTGTGCGTGCGGTATGCGTGTATGTTAATGTAAGTTTGATTATCAAACACAAAAGGAAAAACAATTGTAAAACATCAACTAAACAATCATAACTTATAACTACGTAATACTGTTGTTTGTCTGTACAGCATTGTGGCAAGTATATATGTACGTATGACAACACAATTTCTTTTTTTCTCTTTTTCTTAAAAGTGTGAGATGAAGTATAAATAATTTCTCCTTTTTTTCTCTTCTCCTATGCATGCCTACAATTTCGAAGGGTAGACTGTTTTTTTCCTTTTATTTAGTTGTGTTCGCGTCCTATATATGTGATCTCTGTAGACATAATGTTGTTTCCGAAAGAAAAGGAAACAAAAAAAATTGGAAAATTATTTGTATGTGACCGGAAATAGTTTTTATCATTTCTCTATAATACTCTTTCTATTCTATTCGGAACTGTGATTATGTGTTATATTAGCGTGTCGCAAAAACAAGAAATAATTAAAGTTTCTTCAAGCGAAACCTTTTTCATTTTCATCTTCTTCTTCTTTTTATAGAAGCCCATTATATTAATGCGCATCTATCAAAACTGATTCGTTCGTATCGAACACCTTTAAGATTAAAAATCAAACAATCAACTTTATTAACAGCAGCACTACAACTGCCACGACCATCAGTCGTTGCACCTTCTACATTCACATTTCTTTCGGCGTGAATACGTAAAAGCTAATATTAATTCTAATGTCACCATCAAATCGGTCTAAATCACCTCCGAAAGTCACTCGTCAAGCAGATCCATCACCCAAACGTACAATAGTAAATGATACAATCAACACCGAAAGACTTAAACTTGCAAGAGATGAAGCAGAACGAGCAATGAAAGTACGAAATCAAATAGATTAGGAATGATAATTGTAATAATAATAATAAATTCATTGATTTAGGATCATAAAATATTTACAATTATTGGGCCATATCCAGCACTTCGAGAATCTTTACGACGGTTAGCTTAGTTCGTCTTTTTTTTGATCTTTCAAATCGATATCATTATTTTGTTTTGTATAGGCGTGGTTGGGTCGAAAAATTCTATCGAGGTTCTACATTACCATCTGTTCATGGAAATAAAAAATCCGATAAGAAAAATAGTAAAAGTGATGATGATGATGAAGACGACAACGATGATGACAACAACAACGACGATGATGATCTTGGTTAGTAGATTCATTTGAATAATAATTCAGCCATTAATTTAATTGTTAACAGATGATCATCCGTCGTACGAAGACGAGGATAAAGTTCCGCCATGGGAAGAAAATGATGGTTACTATGGAATTTTATCACGGCTTGTAAGAGCAGCTGCACCAAATTTGATTTGGAGTGTTCGAGCTTCATACGATACAAGTACATTAGCAAAAGATCAAATGGTTAATCATTATTCAAGAAATGGTTGTTTTACAACGAAGGTTAATTTTAAATCAAATTATTACAGAATAATCATTATTTTTCATTTAGGTTGGTCTTTGTAATAGTCTACGTAATTTACAGTGGTTTCATTCGGGTTGTGCTGATGAATTTTATCCACGATGCTATAAATTATCTCAAGAAGATGATAAAGTTGCTTTTGTTGGTAATATTTTGATTAGAAAATAATCAATTTCATTTCATTTCATATTCTTTTATTTTTATTTTTCTACTTGCAAAGATGATTATCGTCTTACAGCATGTATTAGTTTTCTTAAACTTATTCAAAATCGATGTAAAGGAGTTATTGAACCAGACATGAATTCAATTCTAGCCATGAGTTCAGATGGTCCCGATGATCCTAAAACACCAATGCCGACTATTGACGAACAATTGCCATTAACAAGATCATTGACAATGCCTCCTGGCCAATTATTATTCAAATCTTTGAATGGAAAAACTTCAGCAAAAAAAGTGCCTGTATCTGCTATTGAATTTGCTTTGTATAAAGTCAATCATTTCACGTCATCTCGTGATCACGAAGATATCGATATGGATTCCGAGATGCACATAGATCCAACCGATGAACAATGGACACAATTTATTGAACAATTCTATGCTGCTGCACAGTAATAAATCGAGATGATAGATATATTTTTAGTAGCCTAACATTTATTTTCTTTTAAGTTCAAATGTTGATATTGATGGCATGGAAAGATTTTTATCTAGAATTGATGAATGTTTGAAAAAAGTTGCACATCATTGTCCACAATATCATATTGATGGTACAAGAAACATTTGGATTCTTAAACCTGGTGCTAAATCAAGAGGACGAGGTGTTTACTTGAGAAATTTCTGACACGAATAGAAATGAAAATATTTTTTTAATGAAAATTTAGGAATTGTTGTTTATGATCGTCTGGAAGATATATTAAAATTATGTTCATCTACATTAACAAAAGATGGGAAATTCGTTGTACAAAAATATATTGAAAGGCCATTACTTATTCATAACACAAAATTTGATATACGTCAATGGTTTTTAGTAACCGATTGGAACCCATTAACTATATGGATGTTTAAAGGTTGTTATTTACGTTTTTGTACAGAACATTTTAGTTTAGAAACACGAAATCAAAATGTACATCTATGTAATTATTCAATACAAAAACATTATAAAAATAATTCCAATCGACACAATGACTTACCAGGTATATAGAAAATCGATACCTGAGAGTTTGTTTCTTTTTAAAAAAAAATTTTCTATTTCATTAGTGGAAAATATGTGGACAAATCAAGAATTCATTGATAAATATCTTCGACCAAATCATTTAACTGATCGTTGGGATAAATTAATTTATCCAGCAATGAAAGATGCCATTGTATGCTCAATGTTAGTTGCTCAAGATACCATAGATGCAAGAAAAGTATACACGATTGGATTGTTCGATTTATTGAAATCAGAAGAATGAATATTCTTTGTTCTTCTTGTAATAGAATTCATTTGAATTATTCGGTGCTGATTTTATGCTCGGTGAAGATCTTAAGCCTTGGCTGATTGAAATAAATTGCAGTCCAACAATGGCTCGCTGTACTGCTGTGACAACGGATATGTGTGATAGTGTTCTCGAAGATACTTGTAAAGGTAATTATATTTTTTTAAAAAACAGAGAAAATTTGAATTCAATTGAAATTTTTTTACATATATAGTTATGATCGATCGAAAATATAATCGAACAGCTGACACCGGTAGATTTGAATTAATTCACAAGGGAACACCTGTACCTGTTCCAATATATGTTGGAATTGACTTGCGTGTTGAAGGTAAAAATAGAAGAAAAAACAAGCGTTTTTGTCGCTTCGATATTATGAAAGATAAATTTAGGTAAAACATTTAAAACTGGTAGATCAGCAAATAATTTTCGTACTGTATCACCTGAAACACAAAACAATAATACTAATAATAATAACAATACATTCAATTTGCATGCATCGGCGCCTTCTCATATGAATTCATCATCTTTATCAACATCATTATCGATGACACCCGCAGAAAATCGTCCTGTTCTTGCACATTCAGCTAGTGCTCTTGCTACACACCTTCAATCTTCGTCGTCGAAAAGTTCCAGTAGTCCTGTCTCTCTTAAACTTCGTCGTGAAATGACACAGCCAACATTAACACGTATTGACGTGGCTCCTATAGCAGACTCGTCACTTGAAAAACTGGCAGCGAGCGAGAATTATTTATTTCAGTTTCGCTCAGTGCCTAATACTAATACTAATATTATTACTAATAATAGTAAATCAAATCAAAATCAACAAGCTGATTTACGACAACGACACCTAAAAGTCACACCAGCTCGTCTATCTGTTGATTTTCTTCCTGTGCGTCAAATAACTCGAACGAAAGTTACTAATGCTCTCCCGTCACCGAAAGGTAAGAAAAATACACAGACTCTTGTTTCTGCCCTTCTTCATAAATGAAATCTTTTTATTTCCCTTAAAATTTTCCTACATACAAAAACTTAATTCCTACTTTCCTAAAGATCTAGTAGCATCGCTCGATATATCTCGATTACCAACATTACCAATTCGTTCACAACATTTCAATCGATTAATAAAACAAAGATTGCTTGCCAATAGTCGAAAAAATCGATTATCATTTCGTGATGATGAATTACTTTTTTCTTTGATGATTTCAAACACACCAACAACTGCTCATGAATAGTTCTTTTCGTTTTTAATCTGCACATGCATTTTTCATTCACTTTCGCGCTTTTTTTTATAAAAAGAAAACTAAGACGTAACAAAAAAGAAAACTCAAATATAAAAAAGCATCAATGAACCACTGAGATACGTTTTTGTTTTTTTCTTATTCATATTTCCAGCATTAAGCAGTCGTACACTGGCTATTTACCGACTTGTTGCACAAATAACGACGCGATCAGGGTACACGCTATGAACACTTGATTGTTTGATTTTTCTTCTCTTGCACTGATACACTTTTTTTTGCATGATAATTTAATGTGCATGAGAATCTAATATTACTTTTTATGAGATTAAACAACAGATAATAAAGAAACTCTTCTTGATATTTTTGCATTTCCATATAGGCAACAGCAACAAGACAAGCGGGGTTTCCAAGATAAATGTTGTGGATTTCCTATTCACAGGCAAAGGCAAGTTTATAGGAAAATTACATAAATCAATTAATGTATTTAGAGATTTTTCTTTCTTCTCTTTCTCCCATTGATTAATTCACTCTTACAATAGTTTTTTCAGCTTGGTTTTTTCTCATGCGTGTGTGTGTGTGTGTGTGTGTCTGCTTGTTTAATATTTTGAGTTTGAAACAAAACAAATTTTAATTTAACTAATCTATGAAGAAGCTTAATATTTATTTAACTATTTAGATGTTAAATTGCCAAAGAACTTTCCATTCTATCGTCAATGCCAAAGAACTTCATCATCGAAATTTTTTCAATTATCACCAACAACAACAACTCATTCAAAATTAATAAAACAGCCAAAAACAACAGTTGACTCTTCTAATTTTATCACAGTGTCAGTTCTTACGATTCCATCTACTATTGAAAACATATCAACTGTCAATGATAATCATGGACATAATGCATCATCATCGTCTATTCTTACTGTTGTATAAAGAAAAATGAAAAAAAAAAGAAAAAAGAAATATTTTTTTTATGAATTTCTTCTCTTCATGGTGTTTATTTTATTAATACGATTAGTTTTTTTTTTCTAGAACAGATCAGAGAACAAATGAAATAAATTTTGAAATGACTTTTTCTGTTCATTGTTTAAGAATAGTAAACATTTTTGATGCACCAGAATTCATCATATTTGTTGAACCCATGGATTCATTTGTAAAAAAGACAAAAGGTCGTAAAAACCAGCTATAACCAGCAAAAATTTCCGCTGGTACTAAGTTAAATTCAAGATAATTATTTGTTCTTGCTATAAATTCTTTAATTGGAACTTCACTATATGCCATTGCTATATAACCACGAGGCCCACCTCTTGGATTCGAACCACGAATTTCAACACCAAAACTAACATCATTATTAATAGGAACATTTTCAAAATTGACTACATAATGAACAGCTGTTGATGGTCTATATACTTCATTTGCTACTTGATTAGTTGGTAATAATTGAACATGAATAGTACCAGGTACTGGTGTTATTGATGTAGTGATTGTTATAAGAGAATACAGTAAAAAAATCGATAGCATCACTATCGTTATTTCGTTATGATGTTGATGATGATCGTGTGTGTGTGTGTATGTGTGTGTATATCTTACTATCATTTTGTATTTGCCCTCTTAATTTTCTCTATTTATTTATCTAAGGCTTAAGTTACCAAAAAGTAAATCGTATTGAGTGGTCTCTTCTTTGAAGTAGAATAAAAAATCGTATACAATAGCATTTTATTTAGATAGATATACACAAGCATGTACTGATCAATTATTGATTCTATTTTCTAATTGTTAATCATCATCATCATCATATCTACTAGCTATACCAAAACCAAAGCAAATAAATCCATAAAGAAACAAGCAAGTATTATGAATTCAAGGGAATGTATTGTCTGTTTTTTTAAAGGTAATTTGTATATATGTATATATATATATATATATATGTTAGCTACTCGCAACGTTTTGTTAGTATCTACATATAATTGTAAGCGGCTGTTTGACAAAGAAATAAATAGATCAGAATATTAAAAAAAAAGAGAATAAACAATTCAGATCTTAAAGGATGAAAATAAAAAATATTGGATGATGATCGTTCTTCCAAAATTTGATGACTTTCAGTTTTCTATTATTTTACAAAGACGAATTCATTAATGGGCTATAAGGAGGAGGTGCATAAGTGTCATCTTGATGATACGTTGATTTGATCGCTTCTTCATATTTGGGTGGTGAATACATCTTTAAAAATAAAAAACGAATACAAAATGAATATCTAATGTAAAAATACTAAAAGAAAAATCTTTACCTCTCCAATAATTACGCTTGAATCATCACTACGACCTGAAATTGTTCCAATGTTTCGAGCCACTGTCAATGCTGTTATATAACCATAACAATACCATATGATAGCAGCAATATAAAGCTGTATAAGAAGGAAAAAAACATGTGTATATATTTCAAATGATAATATAAGAGTTAAAGAAAAATATACTTTAGCCAGAATTACAAACAGAAGAAAGGCAAATATGACCAGTTGAAGTGTTTGAGCATCGAGTTCGAGTAGATATTGTTTTAATGGAAATTCTAGTTGCATTCGAAGCCATCCTTTGATATCGGACATATATGCATAAAAACCAAGCAGTGATAAAATTGACACGATGACATTAAATACTTTAATCAAAAAATAAGGAACCATATATGATGGTTTATACTATACGTACAATAAAACCAGAAATGAAAATTTTTATGATTAATAGACTAGACTTACAGTTAAAATACCACAAATATGAGCTAGTATAAGAATTGTTGCTGAAAAAACGATGAAAAACACGAGACATTTATCTTCTAAATAATTAGCCAATAAACAACCAATGATTTTTTTTCTAGTTTAAGAAAATAAAGTTTACATACGTCGATTCAGTGATGCTGCCCATTTAATTGTCATTATATCCAAATTTGAATAAAAATTTCGAGCATTTATTCCCACAGGCATATGAGAAACATTACGTTTCTCAAGAATGCGATTTAATAAAATATTACTTGAAAGAAAATTTTTATTTTGCATCATTATACTCGGTGGCTGTTTCGGCAACGGATCGATTAATGGATTTTGTTGATGATGGAAATATTGTTCATTTGTCAACATCATATTGTTCATCATTTTTGGTGATTGTCGAAACATGAGAATCAATACACATAGTACTGTAGTGTGAATAAATAAATCCCATAAGGCAATAAGTAATGTAGCCGCTCTAAATAAAATAACAAAACATACAGTTGACGGGGAAAAAAAAGAAACGTTATTGCATTCCGACACGGAATCCTAAGACTTATTTTACTATAGATACGAACGTTTCATGTTATAATCCATGATGTTTAAATTTCTACCAAGTCATTTATACGATAGCACACTCAATAGAACCTAGGGAATTAGTTTTGTTGCAAATTGAAAGCGATTACTGACCATTACGAAGATGAGTCATTTTTTTCAGATGTTTATTGATAATAAAAGCAAATATTCGATGGTTTATTGAAGCTGACATTAGAGTACTCAAGACTGAGGGCGACATCGATAAGACATGATATCTGCTTATCCTACAAAAACCATGATATAAACTGCTGATATCGGATTAAACCAATATTTCAACAATACAGTAAATCCTTTTTCTTCATTCATTTCTTTCTCTATCGAAATTATGAATTAAGTTAAAAGTCATGACGAAGATATTTGAAGCCTTTCAAAGAAGAATGACTACAAACATTCTACATAGAATATTTAAGTAAGAACATTTAACGAGAGAAATTCGTCATTAAGGTTTTGCAAATATTAGTTTCATCAAGAGCATAGAACAATAATCTTTCTTACGAATTTATTATATCCATTTTGCTAAGATTGTGGTCTACATGAATTTGAGAGAAAAACTTTCAGATAAAAAAAAATGGTAAGTACTACAAAACAAACGCTGCAGTTATATGGAAATATTCACAACTATCTGATCTCTTTCCATTTCAAGTGATTACTATTGGATAAGTAAGTATCATTTTTAAAGAAATATCACTACGTCTAATATTCTCGTTTTGAGTTATAGACGACGTTTACACTTGAATTTCATCTTCTGAAAGAAACATTTTCAAGAACTTAACTAATAAAAAAACAACACCAATCTACATCGAGGTATTAGTTTGTTATACAAGTATTTCTTCCTTTGAAACACATAAGAATTATTCATCGTTTCGATATATTACCCGTATCATGTTAGTAGATATTATAAAACTCTATATTCATATTTAGATGCTCACTTCAAAAATAATCTTACCTTACTCGCATACAGAAAAGTACACGTCTATTGTACTGACGTCGTACATCACTTTCCATACTAATCGTAGTTATAACCATTGTTTTGTTTAAATTAAATAAACAAACAAAAATATTTAGAATCTAAAAACAAACCGAAATATTGCCTAATGGGAAAGACGTAAATGGTACTGGAAAAAAAACAACAATCTATTTAAAAAAACAATGAAAATGAGAAACAAGTTATGATGATTCCTGAGAGATAAACAACGAAGCACACAACTTTGGATTTAGTCGTTTTTAACACTTATATTTTGTTCACGTTGTATATAAGTATTGTAAAGCAATGAACCGCAACTTATAAAACAAAATATTGTATGATGCCAGAATAATAAATATGAAAGTAAAACAGTAATATGTTGATTATTGAAAAATGTATTTAAATCATTCCATGTTGTAATTACCGATGAATTTGTGTATGTTGAATTCATCATATAATTATCAAAATGTTGTAACCATTGTGGTGGTGATTTTGAATTTATAACAATACTTGAGTTTCGGTCTGAATATACTTTGAAATAAAAACAAATTATTAATTCGATAAAGGCCGGTAAAATATATTGTGATGTAACAACACCAAGATAGAAGAATATTGATGTTACATTACGTTGATAAGATATATTAGTTACACGTGTTGTTGTTAATTGTTGTTGTTCATATAAAACTTTAACACGATCAAATGCTGTATCCAGATAGATTTGTGTATATGATTTAAATAAACAAATTCGTAAGAAAACCGACGAAATAATTGAAATAATTTTTAATTTTAATAATAAATTTTCATCCAAACGTTTTATGATTGGTTTAAACCATAATAAACATATAAATATTGGTAGTATAAAATTAATTAATGTTAAAATAAGTAAACATATATTTTTAAAATTTGTTTTCTTTTTATTTTTTATTAAAAATAAGTATTGCAATTGACCAAAACGAAATGCTGGAAAAAACAGGATTATTGTTTGATAGGCATTTAATATAGATAATAACATAACAAAATAAATAAAACGACGATCAAGATATTTTATTTCTTCATCATTATCATCATCATATACGACTGTATGATTTCCATAGGTTTCTTTTAAATTAAAATCAAAAAATCTTTCATCTATGTATTGTAAACATAATGCAAGTAAAAATGATAAAGCACCAAATATAATACATAAAATACCTTCATCAACTTTTAAATATTCACGTACAAATTTTGTTAATACTGCTAGAGCAAGTAGTAAAGATATAAAACACCAAAATAAACTTAAATTTATTTCATTTAAATGTTCATTATTTTGACGAAATATTGGAACTATATAAAAGTATATTTCAGTTGATACGAATATAATTATTGAACCTGATATAAAATCAACTAAGGAAAAAAAATCATCAATGTATTTTACTTGTATTGCGTCATGATGTGCCAATGGAATTAATTTTAATTCAATTGATGTATCCATTGGAATAGGAAATTCTTCTACAGTATTTGATGAATCATTATTATTATTAATTGATGAGGATTTATGATAGGATTTAGATATATTTGATTGTTTTTTTGACTTATTATTTGATTCTTTTGCATAAAGTTGTTTTATAGCTTGTTTAAATTCTTCATTTGTTGGTGGCCAATAACGAAATAAACCTTTACACAGTAGCCAACGACCGAATGAATAATATTTTGTTAGTTTAGTTAAAAAACAAAATACAACTAATGATATGACTATCTGTAAACCAAATACTGCCATTTTATATGAATATTAATAACTGTTTTGTTGATTGTTTTATTACTGCGAATATATGAATGAATAAACACGATTGATGTTTTTCTTCTCTTGGATGTATGCATTCACGTTATGCTACCATTCATTGGTTGTTGAAGCCTCTTTCAGTGCACAAATTGTGCTGAAAATTTCTTGTTTACGATTAAATTAAATCATGAAACTATTTTGTTTTGTTCACAACTGTTCATAGTTAATTTTCGATCTTAGAAAATATCGTATCTAAGAAATTAGTGACATCTGACGGGGAATATGCCCCGAACAGTATTTAATGCAGTGCGAAGCACAGCATTTATATTGTCCGTCATGTACGCATCCAAAGTCATTCTTTTTCTGGCACGATAATTTTGAGAACGGAATTTTCTCTGATACTCGTTGCAACGGCATTAGTAATGTTAAGAAATATTTCTATTTCCCTATCGAATTCCAACATAGCGAGACTTAACGTTAATCTAACCACAATTAAAATGATATCATAAACACATGCTAGCCCCTTGTGTGTTTGTTCATAACTGATTATAGATAATGAATCATTGAGATAATTAAATATTCAATCAAAATAGTTCTCTATGAATATATCAATTAACTTGAACAGAGTTTTCGCATATTGATAAGTTAAACGGCTTGAATGATTTAATAATATCTAGCAAAAAAAATCAGTGATTGAGTTTAACTGCCTCTTGACAAAAGAACGTATTCGTCAATCATTGAACATCAGAAAAAAGATTCTAATCTTAGAATGAAAGAAATTTACAAAATAAAAAGTTCAATACATAGCAGATCAACTGAACTGGTAAAGTAGCCATCGTTAAATTAAATTCTTCATTCATATCCAATTTTTTTTCTTTCGAATCTACTACAAGACGCTTGTCTTGTAGTTATGTTCATATTTTATTTCAGCGTTTTTTTCTCTGGCATGTATGAAACGTGTCTCTTTCGTTTCGATGTAGAAATCGGTTCAAGTATACATTTCTAGTCATTGTTTGTATATTTTTTAACCAAGTTATGAGCCGGCTTCTTTTTATGAAGTCGAACTGTGTGAGATTCCATCATTTGTCGTACTTTGTGTACTTGTTTTATTTCCAATTCATAATAATTTAATGAAAATTTATTGAAAAGCCCTTTTAATAAAAATTTAACCAAAATAAAGCATCCGATATCAGCATTGAGCGAGTTGAACAAAAACCAGCGGTTTGATACCCGTGATTCTTTTTAGCATTGATATTTTTTCATGTTCAAATGGTATCTGCTGTAAAAACAATGTTACTTACTTCCGGTGTATGGGTATATTTTTCAACGGAGACCTATTAGATTATGATAAGTAAATAACTAGTTGATAAAACGAAACTTGTATTTTTTTTCTTGTTTAATTGTAACTAAGATTGAAATTCTGATCACTTGAGATGAAAAACTTTTAAAACTCTACTCAAAAATAATAAATACTGTATTATTATATAAGCCACGAGTAGATGGACGTCGTTTTTTTAATGAAAAAGTGTACCTGCTTTTTTTATAACTTTTTGTTTTACAAGATTTTCATAGTTTTGTACTTGAAATAAATTATCTATTGTAAGCAACATTCATTTTCTATTATTTGAGTAATCATTTTAAATGGATGTGAAAACGTCGAAGAAAAAAATGTCGAAGAAAAAACTATCTTAAGAATATTTCGAAAGCATTGAACTTCAAGACCTTCTGGTTGAAATAAATAATTACGTTGCCCTTTCAAGTTAAAATAATTATTATTCCAATCAGTATGAACCTTGTCTTTGTAATTCTTAGTTTTACAGATTCAATATATTTGCGAAGATGTTTCTTTATTGAATTTGTAAAAGAAACCATTCCGAATCAATTGTCAATAACTTTTGTCGGAATCAAGAAAAGATGTAGAACTTGTATTAGTGGGTATTATACAGTAGAAAGAATTAAGTGATGAAACTATAAAAATTTGTACTACAATATCTAAAAGCAAGCGAAATATGTAGAAGGCCGCATAACAATACTTTGATTGTATTCTTTGCTCTTTTGTAGTTCTGATATGTGCTACATTCTAGGATGTTCGCTCACAAAATTACTTATTGAGGAAAATCATTTAGCTAATCATTGAAATTCTACTGAGAAAAAGAAAAGAAAACAAAACAAAATCAATATTGATTTATAACGATATCTCACAATTTTCGACATTGTATATGTTCGATATTTTCCCTTCGACATTTTTTTCTTCAACATTCATTTTTCGATATCTCGTTTTCGACATTTTTGCTTTCGATGTTTTCAATACATACCGAAATATAATGTACACGATTATCTATATCACTGTCAATACTCGTGGACGTAGATTATAAATCCAAAGTTGATAGTTTATTACTGTTGTCATTGAATGAGAGAATTTCTAAAACCAATACATTCTATGTTAATGAAAATCCAGGTAAAATAGAAAAAACTACACCTCGATTGGAATTGTGGATCAGTTCTGATGAAGATGTTTTTGGATTCGAATCATGTATTTTTGTCACTATCTTAGTACAGTTTGGTAAATAATTTAAGCATGATAAAGAAATTGTTGTTTCATCGGTAATGTCTATCAATGAATATCTAAGATTAGATGTCAGCTTCAATATATTCCGAATAAAATTAGCAAATACTACCTCAACACTTTCATTGGATGGAAATCTATACTTAAATTCTTTGGATTCATTTTCGAATGCAAAATGGATCATTTTCATTTGAACCATAGACGACATAATTCAAGGGCCAAGACGAATTTGTCGATAAAAACACTGACGTAACCAATACCGTTTCTATTAGCAATCTAAAGCAAAAAATGCAATTGTATGTTATTTGTAGGTACAACTACAGACAAGCAACACTCTCTACACTAATTGGTGTAATTGACCGAGGCACATCAAAGCGTGTGAGTGCCGCAGTATCGTTATCGTGCAGTTGTGACCGTCAAGCAATGGCTTATAGTTTGTGATTGCTCCTTTGGTTTTCTCAAGGGATTATAAGTGATATTGGTAACAATTGTTAGAAAAAAAAGATTCTCTATCGATCGAACTGTGATTTCAGTATTTTCACAAAAAATGGAGAGCGCTATGATATTGTGCTAATATCGCTGCTTAAGACAATGAAGGAGCTAACACATGAAATACTGCGAAATCCTTCTATATTTCTTCATTTTCTATTCTTTTTTAATATTTACTCGATTAGCAATCCTTTCCCCTCTTCTACAGACGATCAATCACGTATAAACATTTTCACAAGATGATACAAATCTTTTTTTAACGACATTATATAGCATCAATTGAGAAAGAAAAAACTTCACTTGAAAAAGTCTCAAAAATATTTAAAAGCTTTCAGTAATTCAGAAGGTTCAGAAAATAGTACACCCAACAAACAATACACAGAGTTAAAGAAATCTGCTTTTCTCCCTTGAGTCAAATAGAATACCCCAGAGCTTGCTACTACGAACGAGTCTATTTAATTGTGAATTGGGTCCATCTTTTTTTTTTATCTGACTCGATTTTTTCGAACAATTCAGTTCGTTTACTTTACATCGAATTTTGTAGTTTTTTTTCTCATAGCAGCTCTTCAGCAATAGTCTATGATAAAAACAGTTCAAGTCAAATATTGTGGATACTCATGTTTAAGATTAACAACTCTTATGAATTCTTAATCAATACGAGAACCTCTAAACTTAATTTTACTCTAGAAACCACAAAAAATTTTCAAAGTAATATTATATGAAGTTGTTGATGGCGCAAGAGACTTCAAAAATAAATATATATTCACGCATAAAAAATTCTCTGATCTCCTACTAAAATTACTTGAAATGTTTAATAACACACTCCTCGGATGCGTGTAAAGTTTGTGTTGAATAAAATATTTCAATCTTTGCTTTTATTTCTATAGAAATTACTACGACAACGAACAAATTTGTATTACACCTGTGGTATAGTTTTGTGTACTAATACCGTTAGTACTTTACAAAAAATTGCTGTATTCTGATGAATAGATAATTCTTCGTCAACAACAACAATGCACGGCTGAATCATATTCATTATTTTCTCATTCACTATTTTATCTTTCGAAGAGACTGCTGTAAAAAAAAATAAAGGCATGATTAATCTCAAAAAATATTCTAAGTTCAAAGTACTTGGCATAAATATTTTCATAAATCGAGTAATTTAAAAGTAGTATTTTTTGAGAACAAATAAGATCAAATTCAATTAGCAAGTATTACGATGTAACTATGTGATTAAATCTATTCTCACATTGCCACAAAAAATTTACAATAAACATGTACGTTCACAGAAATGATGAACAGAAAATAGAATCGAGCATTACAGTGACACAGACAAAGCGATGATGCTGAAAGCGAACCATCAGATTTCCAAAAGACAAAAAGAGAAACCAAAGAAAATATTAGGTATTTTAGAAAGAAATTTTCAAAACCATGTACCACGACATAGATTTAATGTTATTTTATTTCAAAAGGAAACATTTCACAAAAGAAAGCTAAATTGAAATAAAAACTGTGTTTTTCTTGGTTTTGTACGAAATTGAAAGCTATACTTTTTATCATAACACAACAAGAAAAATAACTAAAATAAATAAATAAATAAATAAAGATCGACATCTGACAAAATTTTTAGCTTATTATTAAAAATCTTTCAATCCCAAGATTCTTCGTTTTGCTTATGCTGATAGTTAGGTTTTACTATTTCAGTTTGATTATTCGTTGATCTATGATCATGATCATTCGTACGATAATCTTCGTGTGTACATGATGTTATTGGATCTTCCGCAAGTATTATCAGATTATTATGAAGCATTTTATAACCGATAATTTCAATAATGTGTTTTAAATCTTCTACTGTTAGATTATATTGTAATAAACGAGGATGATTAATTATTGCTTGACAGTTAACAGTTAATGGATATGTATCATGATTATCATCGCCGTGACGAGCTTTCTCTTCAGCCATTAAACGATACATATTAAGAATGTATCGAATTTGTTCTTGAAGTTCAATAGTTTGTTGAACACCAAATGGATAATCAATAAATCCAATGAGTTCATGGTGATTACAACAGGATAAACGTTGGTAGAATTCACTTGATGTTAAATGTGTTTTCATATGATTATGTTTACGATAGAAAATAGCTATTTGTGTACACGTGCCAATGTTCCGATGTTGTTCATTCAATGGAGCTTCTCCAACACCATTGAATTCGACTCTGTAATCATAAGTATGAACAATTTTCTGTGACCAGTTCTTAAATTCATCTCGAGTAAATTCAAATTTATGATCAGCATGTCGAAATTGCCCACAGATCATTTGTGGAAAAAGAACATTGAAATCAGCATTTGGTGTTGTTACAATAACACGACGTGGACATATATAACCAAATACATGTTTCACTAGATTCTCTAGATCATTTAAATATAAATGTTCAATAACTTCAATCAGTGTAACAACATCAAATTGTGAAAAACAATTACATATTTTTGTAGCATCACCTAGAAAACGAATAGAAGGCATATTGTTGTGTTTTTTCTTTGACAACTAAAAAGACTTACCATATAATACATACATATGCAATGGAGTTTCACGACGAAATATCATATATTCAACTGGTAATGGTTTTAATCTGAAGCATCCTTCTTCCAGTTGATATCGAATTATATCAATAGCAGCAATTAATTGTATATGAGGATTACGATATTTACCGATGGTTAATAATTGACATGTACCACAACCGATATCAAGTAATGAGTGAAGACTAGAATCATGTTGAATTAAATCAAGTGTGAACAAATAACGTTGTCGATAGAGTGGTGGTGTGAAATGTATTCCACCTTCATTATCTGGAATGTGATGTGTAGATGGATGAATTGTTTCATCGCTATTAGAAGTTGATGTAGCTACTGCGCTTGATGCCATATCTGAAACAAAAACAAAATGATAATTTTCGTATTAGAATTTTCTTTTTCAAGAAAAGAATTTATCTATTGATCGACATAATTGAAAATCAAATATGAACGTGTATATAACTTGTACTGTAGAGCTGTCAAATTTAAAGATTTCTCTTTGCATACTCATTAATTCTTGTTTTTGATCTATCTTTATTTCCTATGCTTCTATGTCGAATGATCCTAATGCAGCTAGGAAAATCTACAACGTAGTTCAGTCTTTGCTTGATATTCATAATTTCTGCAATGACACTAAGATCTATTGAGACTTCGTCAGTATCGAGTATAATTATATACAGATGTTAATGCAGCTTTCTATCTACAGTCGAATCCGCTTATAAGAGCGCAATCGGGGAATCAAAAAGTGGCTCTTATATCCGGGTCACTCTTTTATGCAAACTATATGCAAAACAGTGCAAAAGATGATTCTTGTCAACATTTATTAAATACTACAAACACATACATAAATTTACTTAAAGAAATCCGTGATTTTACGTTCAGTACGATTAATTAAAGCGTGTTTTTTCGATCATATCTTCGACATCATAATATGAATTGTAATCTGTAAAATTCTCTTCCAAATACTTGCGAACCATCGAAAGATGCATCAGCACATCTTTATGAGAGACACCTGGCATCGGTTTATCAACAATTCCGACTTCTTCGTTTTGCCTTATCTTCTTCACCGTAGAATAGCCAATGTTGAAATGTTTAGCCACATCGTCTGCCTTTTTGGATTTCAGTGCTTCTAAGATTTTCAATTTTTGTTCAATCGATAATGTGCAACGTTTACCGCTGGTAGATGCCATTGTTTGAAAAGTAAAGATTCAACGAAAAATGGGGAAAAATATATAGAACGAGGGAAAGGAAAAATTCATCACATAGATACGACAGAAAAGAAAAAGAAGAAGAACATAAGTGCATATTTATAATCATATAGATAAAAAAGCTCTTTTATGCGGACTAAAATCGCGAAAAAGCTCTTGTATCCGAGGCTCTTACAAGCGGACTTTGCCGCAATGTAAAATACATTACGAAAAAACGGGGAATTGAAAAACGGCTCTTAAAAGCGTAACGCTCCTTTATACGGAGCTCTTCTAGGCGGGTTCGACTGTACTCAATAAAAAAGAAGTGAGAATTGAAAACATTCTACCGAAAAGTAATTCATATTTTTTTGAACCCAAAACAAGCTATAAAATTCGACAAAAATATCTTTCATTATATTCACATTTTCACCGGAAAACCAAAAAAAAGAATTCTGCAACATAAAGAAATTTGACTCTTTCTGAAAGAACGTTAATCAGATTGAATTGATTTTTTCTTTGAAATTTTCTTCGAATTTTTCTTTTGAATTTTTTGAAACTTGAATAGATTAAGCCATCTGAAGAGTCCTTTAGCAGGGACGAAACGCGTCATGGCAGCTTCTTCACACCCACACACCCACACCTACTGTTCAAGTATGAAGACGTTTCCTGTAAAATTCCATACTCTATGGGACAAATACTTCGATAAATCTCCAATCAACGAAGTTATCCCGATTTTTGGTACAAGAAATGTCGATAATCTCCAAAGACGACTGGTATATACCAAAACATAAACGAATACAAAGAATGGCACATTAAACATCACCATCTACCCGCTCAAAAATGGGATGACCTATATTTAATATGACTGGTTCAAGATCCATATATAATAATCTACATTTAATACGGCTGAAGATCTCTGTACAGTATAGCCGGTTCAAAATCTATATTGAAAATGGCCGGTTCAATATCTCTGTTCAAATACGGCTGCAGACCTGAAGATCTATATTCAATACGGCCGGTTCAATATCTCTGTTCAAATACGGCTGAAGATCTGAAGATCTATATTTAATACGGCTGAAGACCTAAAGATCTATATTCAATATGGTTGGTTCGAGATCTATATTAAATACTATTGTCGGATCAAACTGATCAAGATATCAACCCCCAGAATTGATCTGGATATCAACCTCGAGAACCGATCTGGATATCAACCCCGAGAACTGATCTGGCTACCTTTTCAATAATCGATTGAGTTATATTAAATCCCAAACTACTTCTTCAATAGTTCACAAAATTATAGTCAATACAGACTAACAGATCACTACCAACATGGAACCTCTACTTCAGATTAGCAAGCTTGAACTAAACTATATATACGTTTTTTGTCTTCTATATCTCTCCTAAATATGTTTTCCATTGTATTCTAATCTATTTCATTTTTTACTTTGTGTTTGCTTGAAAAATCCTTTAAAATTTGTTGTAAACCATATTACGCATTTTCTATGCGTTTCTTAATTTTGTAATCTCTTTAATTGTGCTTATTTGTGATGCAGAGCCCTGAAGAGTGTTTCATTATTTCAATAAATAAATAACACGAAATGCGTCGGCGAAATAAAACTCTGCATTTTATTTAATTCAAGCACAAATTTAAATATTTAATATAATAGTATATCATTTTTCGACTCTGATCGATTACTGAAAAGTAAGAGTTGAGACTAGCAGATTGATTTGTCTTTTCGTTAAGAGATAGGTTAATCTGTTTTGAACTGATTTACCCACACCCACACCCTCAAGATTATTTTGAAAGTTTAAACATATCAGATGCTTAATTAGTGTATTAAAAACTAATACAAATTGATAATTAATTAATATTTGTATATATATGAGTGCTTCCTACTAAACTGTTGTCTGCAAACGTAATACTTAGCGATGAACAAAACTATTACTTGTGACTGAATATTTTTGAAGCAGTTGGTTAAAGCATAAAAATGTCCTGCACTATCTTCAGGGCAAGCTAACTTATCAATCATTTTATTTACTTTGTTCAAAATATTGTGAAATTTTCGGTCTTGCTCGAAAAGTCATTATCAGCACTAATTTTACATCAAAAAAAATTACACATAATACATACAACAATTTGTATTCTTATTTTTATTTTTCGTTCTGTTATGAACATCGCACTGACGAAATGAATTTCTCTTCTTCGTAGCGCAATGTGGAGAAGAGAAGAAAAATAAAATTGTTCTCTATATTATATGTAATTTTCTTTCGTCTAAATGTAGTGTTGATAATGACCTTTTAAACGCGGTCGACAGCTTCACAATATTTTTGAACAATATAAACAAAATCATGGATGAATTTGTTTACTTTGTAATTAGTTTATTCATTTATACTCCATCAGACGATATATGGATATGCTTTGTTCACTCACTTTTAGTGAACAATTTAACAAATATGTTAGAATATATATCTAAAAAAATCGGTTCCGAATATTTGGAACCGAACCGGTCCCATCACTGATGACTATCGGAACTTATCAACATCGAAATCTTAAACAAGAACTAATAACAAGAAAACTTAAAACGAATTCGAAATCCGAAGACAAACTAAAACAACTCAACAAATGACCAACACTTCCAGCCAATCTAAAATCGTTCACTTTCCAGTAAACTGACTAATTCATTTACACCAATAGTAACTTCTTTTACCATGCACAAAATTCATAATAAATTCTAAGACAAATTCTAAAATATCTTTACTGTAAGAAATCCTCACATCTTCAAAACCTTTAAAAGAATCAATACCAACACAAAATAAAAACCCTTCACAATAGAATGAACAGTCAGAAACACAAAACATCCCAACAAGCTAAAGAGACACAGAGCAAACACCAGAAAGGTGGTTATCTCAAACCATAATTAGTGATTACTTCTAAACAAAATGCAGTATATATTCAACAATACTTATTGAAATATATAACAAAGAACAAAATTACAAAAACAACACTATCATTGAAAACATAATAACATAATAAACGACCATAACCTCTGCAAATCCATCATCGAGAACTTGCCCCAAAAAATCCGCAACTTTCTCATCAAATGGCATAATACAAACCACATGATGAGTCCCTTGACCAAGGACGAAACGCGTCGTAGTTGCTACAAATACACGCCCTCACACCCCCATAATTTATTTGTGATCGTTTAGATCATCGAATAATTATACAAAATTCAAGCCATCTTATGAGTCCTTTAGTAGGGGCGAAATCGCAATCATGGTTGCTAATCTAAAACACGCCCCACACCCACACCGACACACTTAAAAAGTCTATGAATATGAATAAGCGCGAAATACATTACATGTACATCTTAAATAGACCCATTGAAACATGAAGAACTTTGATTGTGCACCTCCCTGTCTTGCAACTAACACGTTTCAACACATATAACATCTTAAGACGTTTAGATAGACCATAACATTCTCTAAGAGATTTCTAACAGAACAGCGCCGATTTTGTAACTACATTCGAAACACTACGAGTTATCAAACAACAAACCTATTGTGAAGCGATTAGTCCGATAACTTTGCCGAACTAAGCACCCGTTTCTGCGATGCCATACCTTTCCCGATCATGCCTCAAAGTCTCATTCTTTCCTTTTTCACAACCATAGATATAGAATGATGCGGATTGTTTTTCCAAAACAATGTATGCCCTGAACTTATACGCCAAACATAATACACATCATGCCACAATTATTAAACGAGTGCGAAAAACTTAGTAGGGGAAACTGAGATCCATTTTCTGCACTGTTGCCTCAACAGCAGCAAAGTTGCCATTGTTTTTTCGGCACGGAAACACTACCATTTTATACAACTTGAAAAGCTCTATCAATTGGCATATAAATCATCGCGAAGCAAGAAAGTTATCTTATACAGGTACAGTAGAAGAAAACTTGGATTGCAGTGATTTTGCTAGATTTTTCATAACACTATCTTTAATTTTGTTGGTAAAAACACTCAGCGCATTTTTTTGGGTAGTCCTGTGCGTGTTTTCAATATCTTCGAAGCGAAAAATAGAATGGGCCGATTACTTTGCTTATACGCCCCTCCTTTGTTCTGCGTAGAAAGAAGTTATTCCTCATTAAAAGAACACGTGGTTGCAGCTGGAAAATTGGAAATACTCTGCTCTACTATTCGCACAAAGATACTAATGTAAAACATACATTCTACTTTGATTTCTGTACCGAGAGTCTATGCGCTATGACTTCTAGAATACGAAGTGAAGCTGTTACTTCAAAAACTTATGAGGTGATGGAAAAACTGGTCATATGAATCTTATCTGTTGTCATAGAAACACATTGACACATGTTGTAATCAATAAAATGCATTTTCTTGCTAAAAAGTATTCTATGCTGACTGCGTTAAAACGAGCTTTGAAACAGCAACGAGTTGGAAGATTTCAAAGATCGACTATGAAACACGCATTTGGTTGCTCCACAAATGTTGCATTATAGACTCATAGAAGCGTATTTTGTTTTCAACTGATAATTGGAAAGATTATGCACTCAACAGATTGAAGAGTTCTTAAGATATTTCAATTTCGCTTTCGAAAAGAACTTATGATTCGCTGTGCTTCAGTGAAAAACAATATTGTATAATAATAAACCATTCAAAACAGTCTGTTAGTCTCATAAACTTTATTAAGCTACCCTTTTAGCGATTATCAGTATCATAAACTCCTCGGCAAATATAATCCTTGAATTCATCAACATTAACGTGAGTATATTATACATTGCAGTGTTATAAATCCTTTAAGGTTTATTCGCATTCGCATATCCTTTTAAATATTTTTCACCTTGATAAAGGCTTCTAAAGAACACTTTTTATGCTAGGATTTCTTCCGAAGGGGAATATCAAGAAACGTTCTCCCATTCGGGTTCTTAATGCCGGTAGACCTTTAAAAGCGTATACTAAATGGTTTACGACACTAATGATCCTTAAAAATGAGGTATGATAGGATTTATGAGGCTATTAAACTCTTTTAAAGGGTTTATTATTCTTTACTAATCTTTTTCAGTATCGGAAGAGATGGGGATTAACTCTCATTATCGTAACATATGAAGGTATATTTGCTAGTATTAGAAATGAACATGATCAAATTATTCAACATTTCATAGAACGTCAGAAGCCTCTTATTAGATCGATTATTTAGTGCCAGGTCATTTGTTTCAACACAGTGCCACCTTGGGTTAGTTATAATAAATCGTAAGTAAGAATTTACTAAAATATGTCAAGTCTAAATAACGAGAACAGCCGGGTTCTTTACTCCTGATATATACATAGAAGTTAACGCAAAAGTCAATCTTTACTCTTGCATATTACCCTTCGTGAACTCTATCAATAGTAACACTTCTTTCCGAACGAAACTTAGTAAAACCATACATATTTTATTGTTAGTCCATGAATTTCTCAACTGAATACGAAAATAACGCAAAATTTCGTCTATTCTAAATTCCTTCTGAAGGATAACTACTCATATTAAACGGAGTTTCGAAATTGGCTAGAAATACTATTTTTGCACGAATAGAGAATATTAAAACAGAATAAGACAAATTTTTGAAATTTTTCCTAGTCTAGATTGAAGAATGAAAGCGTTGTCATACGTTCGAATAATGCATATAAATAATATTGAAACGCAGTGTGACGGATTAGTTTAATAAACTCAGTGCGAGAAAATGCCTTACTTGATATTTAAGAGAGAGTCCATGAGGCCATCAAAGATCAGGTCCTATATGCCGGCACTGGACAAAATTTAAAACTTTGATTTGATGCCTTCATCTTAATCAGCATTGTTTAAAACCTCTAAACCTGAATTTCTAGTGCATTTGGATGAATCGGTAAAAAGTTAGCCTAATACGACTTTCGGGACCCTCAAGTAGTTACAGGAAAAATTTCATCAAAAATTATCTTTTTAAAGCTGATTATTTTAATATAATAAAAGGTTAACAAAATGTTTACTATAATATGCTAAAAGATAGAGCTTTAAACGCTGAACAAAATGAACTATTTAGATATAATGTTTTAGTAGACTAATCAAGAGTTATATATCAAAAACTTTTCGTGGGTGCCCATTCTTTTGAGTAAAAACATGCCAATTTTTTGCAGTATATCAGCTGCCATTCAGCTATTTTAAGTGGTTCCAAGCTGAATTTTGTATAGGTTATACATAGGCATGTAACGAGACCGAGTTCTCGGTCGCGGTCTGTCTCGGTCATGATATTGATATCAACTAGTTTCAGTCTCCGTTTTAGAACATTGTTCATGAGACGAGTATGAAAATCGATCTATCCATAAAAACATCGTAAATATCTGCAGCGTTATGTGTATTATACTGTCATCACTTGTTAAAAACGTGGCCGTTTTATGATGATTATGATTTAAAACGGTAAACACTAACCTTCAAAGTTAATAAAGACTTGCTTAATCTACGCCATTGTGTGTCGATCTCAATGTGTGTTAGCTCGGTCTCTGCTTTATAAATTAGACTATGGAAAATGAGGAAGTTTGTCCATAGAGATGCACGCGGGTCAGCAAATTGTTAACAAAAAAAGAGGATTTTCCTCCGTAAATTACCTAGAAAACGGAAAGAGCCTTTTACTGCATGGTAATCGCATTGACTTTATCTAATTCCACGCACAAGGAAAACTACGGATCAATTGAAAAAATGTCCCAGTTTCGACCAATCTTGATTAAATCTAAATCTTGCAACTTCTGATTGTTTTGACTTTCACAGGAACAGTTTTCGTTCTAGTCGGCCTTTCTGATCATACATACTACTAGATGAAATAAAGCTAATAAGTTCGTAGCAGAGGCCGAAACGGGGTGGGGGGGGGGGGGCGGGGAAAGGTTTACCCGGG